CGGGTCTAGATCACTCCTTTTGCTCCTCTTGAACTTCTAATGAACCCCAAATGTCTCCAAAGCTTCCATGTGAAACTCCAATACCTAAAGGGGACTCATGTATGCAAAATGCAACCTAAACATGGCTAGAACCTAACCTACATGATGAAAAGATATGCAAAAGAGTAGATAAAACAATGCAATAATGCAAGACATCAACCGTCCATGTCTAGTAATTTAAAAAGTTTTTTTAGACTCCAGAAATAGTAAACACATAACTTTTGAAATCCAAATCTTTATAGTTAAAAGATTTACACATTAATAAAGTATTTTTAGACAGAGTGATTGTGGTCGAGTGGTAAAGAGATAGAACTAAGACATCAACATGTTTTATGTTCGATTCACTTGCTTCACGAAACTACATCACAATTATCCTGGTCATCTATCTTTAAAACTTAGTCATTATTTAGGATCCATTTGAATATCCAGAGAGTATATCCATGAACTACACTAGATTAATTCAAAAATTTGTTGGAGCTGTCTCTGGATGGAAATATGGAATGTATTTTTAATTTGTAAAGAAATCTTCTGTTAGTATTTAATTTACGATGAAAATCGTGACGAGGTTTATAAAGAAGAAAACAAGAAATAAAAGGGTGAAAAAGAAATAATATGAAAGTAATGTGAAATAATATGAAAATAATTTAAGGTTTGGAAAGCTTTTTAAAGTAAATAATATTAAAATAATAATATTTCGGACATCTGCTTTGGTTTGAACTTTGACCACTGCCCTCTTTTGGGTCCCACATCTCTCTTCTCACTTTCCTAAACAAACGCCGAGTTTCCTTTCTTCTCAGAAATTTCCGATTTCATTTTCACTCTTCTTTCTTTCGTTCTTGCTGCAGTTTCAGTTTTGTCTTCTCAGAATTTTCATCAGTTCTCTTGTTCTTGTCAGGTTTGAAATAATTCTCTCTCTTATACGCTTTATTTACTTTTCTAGATCGAATCTGGAGTTATTTTTTATCATTCTCTCTTTTTTGCGCTCGAATAACGAACTTTCACACGAACAGATTGTGATTTGTTTAAAATTAGAAATTAAAATATCCAATGATAATGCGAAATTTTTGTTTGTATAGTTTCCTGGATTTATATTGTGTAATAATCTCTTTTGTCTTTACCAGAGATTAATCTAGTGGATGTCGTCATTTTAAACATATCGAACGCGTGTCTTAGATTAATAAATATTGCATCTTTAGCTGTTACACTGACACAATTAGGGTTCATGTGTTAACGACTAGATCTGTAACTGGAGATAAAATTTCTAGCTCATTGTTTTTTTTTTTGTATAAACAACTCTTTCTTCATTGATCTAAGTTCTAACACATGCATAAACGGATCTGGTTTTGTAATAAAACAACTTCTTTATCTATAGATCTTTGTCTCTGTTTCTTAAAAAAAAAGTTTGTGTTTTTGAATCATTTTCAGGTGAAATTGTGAGTCTTGACTTACATTTTGCGTAATCCAGAGTTATATGCATTCAAAGGCTCAAGCTTTATGTATATAGATGAATCTCTGTTTTGTCACTAAAACCAAACCGAGTTTAGAGGATCTGAAAGAGATGGTTTTAGGATGTTTCCCTTTGAAAGGCAAGAAGAAACGTGGCTCTGTTTCTATGAAGAGGTTAGATCTTGAAGAAAGCAAACCAATAGCTTTACCAGAGCCACCACAAAAGATTCAAAGCCGTAATCTACAATCTGCTCCTCCGAGTTTCAGAACTAGAGTGAAGCCTAGTAAAGAGATGATCAGCCGGACAAGAGTTATGTCTGCTCCTTCAAGCATTCACGGTGTAGCTGAGAGAGATTTGCTTGCAGGAGTTAACCACGAGGAGCAAGAAACTAGCCCACAACCACTTCCGTTACCGTCGCCAAAGACTGGCTCTTCGTTGAAAAACTGGGGGAGTTTCAAATCGTTTAACGGAAGCAGCGGGAGGTTATCAGCTTCTGCAGTGTCTGGACCGTTGCCTTTGCCTCCTAATGGTTCAGTTAGGAGCTTCTCGTACGATGAAGTAGTGTCTGCTTGTAGTGCCTTTGCTACAGAGAGATGTGTCTCTGAAGGTCTTTCATCTGTTATGTATATGGCTTCGTTTGGTGACGAGGCTGCTTCAACGTCAGGTTTAAAGAAGGTCGAAGCAACTGTTGTGCGTCTTAACGTGATAACTCAGGTAAACAAAACATACGTTGTTATGATACCACATAATGTGTTTTATTTGTGTTCTTACTATTCGTTACTATTTGTGCAGAGTATCAGGGAGTTCACTAATGAAGTGAACACGTTGGCGTCTCTGCAACACCAGAATCTTTGTAAACTGTTAGGCTATCACGCACGTGATGGATCTGACACGAGAATGTTGGTGTACGAGAGGCTTGCTCTTGGAAGCTTGGACAGGTTGCTACATGGGAGATCAGATGGTCCTCCTCTTGATTGGAACACTAGAATGAAGATTGCTCTATGCGCAGCTCAGGGTCTAACCTTCTTACACGAAGAAGGACCCTTTCAGGTACATACAACAAAACTCATAACATTGTCAAAACTAGTAGTTAGACGTTTTGTATTATATAGGAGACGATTGATTAAACAGATACATGAACCGTTTTTTTGAGTCCTTAGACCAATTTCTTCAAAAATCGGTCTATAAACGGATATCGACTAGGCGGACACCTAGGCGTCACATGCTTGTAACTGTGTATTAGTGATTAAAAACTTTTAATTTCCTGTGAACAGGCGATGTACAATGAGTTTTCAACGGCTAATATCCAAGTAGATAAAGACTTCAGCGCCAAGCTATCTGGATACGGTTGCGTAGGCAACACTCCAGAGACAGAGACTCCTAACAGTTCAGCACTAGCTAATCTCTCTGCCGAGACACTAGAGAGAGGTGTTCTGACACCAAAGAGCAACGTGTGGAGCTACGGAATAGTTCTGCTCGAGATGTTAACTGGGCGTAAAAACATGGACGGTTCATACCCTAAAGAAGAGAGAAACTTAGTGAAATGGAGTAAAGCTTTTCTAGCAGATGACTGTAGACTCTCGCTTATAATGGATCCTCAGCTCAAAGGCCGCTTTCCAGCGAAAGCAGCGAGGAGCATAGCGGATATAGCGCAGAAGTGTTTGCAGGTGGAGCCATCAGAGCGTCCAACGATGAGAAATATTGTGGAACAACTCAAGGTTATACAGGACATGAAGTACTCGTGTAGGTTCCCGTTACGAGAGCCAGCGCATGTTGCGGTAAGGAAACATATGGGAAGATCAAGCAGTCTCAACACGATTGTTTGGACACCGGGGGTAGTAGCGCCGCCGAGGTCGAGTTTTTCACCGTCGCCACCAGCAGGACGACCGTCAGTTTCGCCTACAAGGGTACGGGGGTTGGTGTTTCCGTCGGTGTTTCCGGCGAGAGTGTGTTCGTCGTTGGAGATGAGTAGGGAGGAGGTACGGAGATTGTCGACGGGCAGTGGTAGGAGGACTAGTCTTGAAGGGTTTTGATTTGTTTTTATGGACTCCAAACATAAAAAAAAGATGTTTTTTTCGTAGTTAATTTTGAATCCTGACGTAAAGAGATGGAGTTTGCTGTGTTTGTAATCTTCACATAAAAAACAATTTGAAATATTGTGTTCGTATATAGTTCTTTGTTGATTGATACAAAGAAACACGTCTGAACGAATCTGTATGGGTGAGAAGACAAATACACTTGTGTTTCTGAGTAAATAGTTCACATAGTGAAGCAGTGATTTTTGATCAAAAAGAAAGTGAAGCAGTGCTTATATCTTCTTCTTGTCTGGATATTTTGCAAAGGTTGACCAAACACGGTTAACTTAAAGTGGTTGACGTGAATCCTGGCCTTCATGGCGACACTGCGCAACGTAATACAATAAAGTTGCACAAAACTCTTTTAAAACAAGGCTGGATCAAAAGCCTGCGACAATGAAGACGTGTGCAGTTGTAACTTGTAACTAGGCATGGACAAAAAAATCGGAACCAAATAACTGAACCGGAACTGAAGCAAAATATCTGAAATTGGAATCGAACCGAGACCCTCAAATATCTGAACGGTTTTATTTTTATATATCCAAAATAATTGAACTAAACCGGATTATATATCCAAAATATTAATTATATATATATATATATAGAATAACTAAATATATGATTTTAGTTTTCAAATTTATTATAAGTATCCAAAAATAGTTGAAGATAAGTAAATAATTATAGAGTATCCGAATCACGGATAGTTTTATCTGAAATATCCAAAATTTGTATCTAAATCTATCTAATTATTTGATATTTTATCCTAAATAACCGATTATTTACCTGAATTACCTGAACTCGAACCGGAACCAAATGAGAACCAAATTTTCTAGATGTTTTCTGATTCCTAGTTATACTATCCGAACCGAACCAAACCCGAAATTATCCGAATCGAACCAAACCCGAAACTATCCGAATCGAACCGAATCAAGTAGTGAATGGATCCTCTAACTCCCTACCCGAACTACCCGAAACTACCCAAAACCCTAAATACCCGAGCCAAACCGAACCGATACCTGAAACGCCTAGGCCTAGTTGTAACTGTACCAATTCTTTGATCACGCAGGTGAAGAACTATTGGTGGATACTAGAACCGGTATGTACATGAACCGGGCGTAAACCGGTCTACAACTAATTAATAGGATCCAAAATCAGAATCAGCGGATAGATGCTTCTTTTAAATATGAACAACAGAATAATACATTCGAATATTCCTATTATGTCTTAATTAATATGGGCTTTTGTTACACTAAAAGCCCACAACCACAAAAAAAAGCCGAAAAATCCTCTGCCGCAAAATAACTACTTGGTCAACATTCGCCCAATAAGATAGAACCACGTGTCCTCTCCCTGGATCTACGACGCGTCTCTCTATTAAATCCTCCTCTCGTCTCCTCGTTTCCATTGTCGTCTCTTTCCTCAACCATCCTCTCTGGTATAATCCAATCCTCTCTCTCTAATCGATTTTCCCTCGCAGAATTTAGATCTTCTTTGTTTATATTCCTTAGATCATAAAAATTATGTTTTTCTATGAACCAACTTTAAATTGAGTCCATAGTAATTCTGTAGATCTCGAGTTGCTTGCATTAGACCTAATTTTCTCCTAGGTTTTTTTTTTTTGAGCTGTATAGGGTTTGTATACATTCTGAATCCCTAAATTGTATAGATTTGGGGCTTTGTGATTTAATTTTGATCTGTTCATTTTGTGTAGCCTCTGAAGTTGTGAACTTTACGTTTTTTAATCTCATTCATATTATTACAAAAAATAAAACGATCTTTCAACTTGCTTATATACCTTGTTGTGTTCATAAACCTGGTTCTGTTTTTTTTTAATCAGTTCATGTCTTAGCCTCTGACTTTGATGTACTTTGCAGAGAATTATAAAACCTTTCATGGCATTTGCGCACTTCTGCAGCATCGAATGTTTCCTTAACACCGGGAAACAACTAGAGCTTCTTCAACTTGTTATTGGATTGCCTATTGCCACTATTCTCCAAATCCGCTGTCGTTTTAGTCAGTTTTCTCCGCATTAACCCCCCCCCCCGCCCCTTCGGTACTTATCTCTCTCACTAGTGGACTGGTGAATAGTGATTCTGTTCAGTTGTAAACTATGGTCTCCTCTAACCTTCCTGTCCCAAACAAAACCCACAAGCAACAATATTTTCCCCTCAGCCCTACAGTTTCTTTATTGAATGATGATGTTGAGCTTGATTTCTCTGATGTCTTTGGCCCTCTCCCTGAGGAGGCTGGAGATGTTGCCTTCGACGAGCCTGCTGTTATCCACACTCGTTCTCACTCTTTGGTTGGCCCGTCTTCCATCGGCAACCATTCTTTCAGGCTCAGCAAGCTCACCTTACGAGAGACTGATGACTCTGTTGACCTGGTGGAGTGTCTTGAAGGTGAATTGTTAAAAGATGAATTCTCTGGTGCTGATGACACTGACAGTGATGGATCTACAGATGTGGTTAAGGTCTCTGGCGTCGTTGGGCTTGATGATTTCGAGGTTATGAAGGTTGTAGGGAAAGGTGCGTTTGGGAAAGTGTATCAGGTGAGGAAGAAGGAGACATCTGAGATATTTGCAATGAAGGTCATGAGGAAAGATAAGATTATGGAGAAGAACCATGCTGAGTACATGAAAGCTGAGCGTGATATTCTTACCAAGATTGATCATCCCTTTATTGTTCAACTTAAATATTCTTTCCAGGTAATCATCATCACTTTGCATCCTACTTGTTTTACTTCATAAATATGATACTCAGAGCACTTTATACATTACCCTTGTTTGTATGCAGACCAAGTACAGGCTGTACCTTGTGCTAGACTTTATAAATGGAGGTCATCTTTTCTTCCAGCTCTATCATCAAGGACTTTTCAGGTTTGGCTTAGTTTCTATTTTCAGTTAGTTTTGGAGTTTCACCAGAATTCTGCAAGGCTTGACTAGTTCTATGTTTTGTTTATTTTTTTTCACAGAGAGGAATTGGCTCGTGTCTACACTGCAGAGATTATCTCAGCAGTTTCTCATCTACACGAGAAAGGCATAATGCATAGGGATCTCAAACCTGAAAACATTCTAATGGACGTAGATGGCCATGTGATGCTAACTGATTTTGGTTTGGCAAAGGAGTTTGAAGAGAACACAAGATCAAACTCCATGTGCGGGACTACTGAGTATATGGCACCTGAAATCGTTAGAGGCAAAGGACATGATAAAGCTGCTGATTGGTGGAGCGTTGGGATTCTTCTCTATGAGATGCTCACTGGAAAAGTAAAAAACTCATGCCTGGTTTTTGCTTACATGATATCAATGTGTTGTGTGATGCCATTTTTATTGTTCTTTTTGCAGCCACCGTTTATGGGGAGCCGAGGAAAGATAGAGCAGAAAATTGTAAAGGACAAGATCAAGCTTCCGCAGTTTCTGTCAAGTGAAGCTCATTCCTTGCTGAAAGGGGTAAGTGTCATCATCTTCATAGTACTATAAATCCATTGGATCTAAGACCAAAACTTAATCTGAACTTTTTTAATGAATGTATATATAGCTGCTGCAAAAAGAGCCAGAGAGGAGACTTGGAAGTGGACCGAGCGGAGCAGGGGAGATAAAAGAGCACAAATGGTTCAAGGGAATGAACTGGAAGAAGCTGGAGGCAAGAGAGGTGAAGCCAAGTTTCAAGCCGGAGATATCTGGAAGACAATGCATAGCGAATTTTGACAAGTGTTGGACTGAGATGTCAGTGTTGGATTCTCCAGCAAGCAGTCCAAGCTCGGATCCTAAGGTCAATCCTTTTACCAACTTCACATATGTGAGACCTCCTCCATCATTCCTTCAGCAATCCACTTCAAATCTGCTGAAATGAGCTGCTTGATCCATATTTAAGTGAAGTGTACCTTTCTAGAAATACTTTTTTCTAAACAAAATTGTTAAACTTTCTAGTCTTATGTTTGCTATGTGGCTTTCATAAATCATTGAATAATTGTTAAATAACGACTTAATCAGGTGGTTTAGTGTTTTATGCTTATTGTACACAACTAGGTGTGTTGCCCGCACATGCGGGCATAATTATCTTACAAAATTTAGACATATTTTGTTTATTCAAAAATCATCACATTTTTCACTTATATTATGCATTCAACTAAATGTTGGGTGAAATCTCCCAAAAAAACTTCATCAATAATGTTAATCTTATCACCAATTTTTCTTATCACATTTAAGTATATCTTGCATAAAAACATCATTTACTCATAATGAAAGTATGATATGATATATTCTCTCTTTTTTATAATAACTGTCACTTCAGATTAATTTTGTTTGTTTCAAAAAGAATGTCACTCTATGTTTCCAATGCAATTTTACATATAAAATTTTTCTTTTACCCTTTTGAACAACCAATAGAATTGTATTTAAATTATTTTCATTTAATTAATGATACATTATATAGGAGTATATTAATATTTTTTTTTAATTCGCGGGAAATATGTCAAAGTGAGATTTTTTATGAAACTGAGGGAGTATACTTTGTCTATATATTTTTTATATTAAAACTGATAGTGATTATTGTAGGCTACTCCGGTTAATTAATAATTCTGTTTTATTTAAATTAACTTGATAAAGGTATAAAAATTTATATATATCAGTTTTTATTTTCTTGGATAAGAACATATTAATTAAGTTTGTTTTAGATAATGATAATATATAATTAATTTTTATTTTACTCGCTTATTATTGATGCAAATTTACCTTTATTTTTGAGTTGTTCTTATTATTTATACGAATATTATGTGATAGTTCAGAGCAAAAATATCATTTTGCAACTAAGAATATCAAAATTTTATAATAGAGTATATTAGTTTAATTAATCTATATAGATTTTATTTTATAAAGATAATTCTTATATATATTGTGTTGTTATCAAAAATATCTTTTATAAAAAAAAAATTCATAAACAGAAAATACATAAATTAATATCTATACTATTATTTGTGAAGTGATTTTTCGCAACGGAGCTCTCATGTTAAAAGTTAGTGTGGCTAATATCGATTATATCCTTAATGAATAAATTATATAAGTTAGCTAAAAAAAAAAAAAAACAAAAGCAAGAAGAATTAATCAAAATCTAAAATATAGATTTTATTTTATAAAGATAATTCTTATATATATATTGTGTTGTTATCCAAAATATCTTTTATAAAAAAAAATTCATAAACAGAAAATACATAAATTAATATATTAAAATAATGAAAATAAAAATAAAAATATATCTTTATAGCATTTTAGTTAGTAATGCTTTTACTAATAATAAAGTTGTTAAGCTCGCATGTGTGGGCAAAACACCTAGTTAACTAATACAATCGGTAAATTGTATCATGACCGGAATCAACCAATAGAGCAAGTCCGTAGAAAAGGTCATGCCATGTTTTAGTTCTGAGCTCATACACTTTTTATTTACTTGGATTCCCACAAATAAAATCCACGAGACCAAGAATTTACATGCACATCAAAGGTTTTTCTTTTTAGTTATTGAGATGGAGAAATTAAGGTGGCCAGCATACAAAAAGAGGATACATCGAAACGTTTGCGTTCATGATACAAGATTCAGTCAAAAGAAAGTCTGGTATAACAAAACCTGATTGAATGAATGGAATACTACATCACTTCAATCACTCAACCTTCTCGTGGGTGGAGCAAGTTTGCTTGAAGAGATTGGACGACACATTCTATGTCTTTTACGCTCCGTGATTTGGGATCTGTTTTTTCTTTTTGTTCCTGGACAAACCAAAGCCCTTAGTCCAAAATTCATATAACAAAATATTGATGCTACAAACTAAAGGAAATTCAGGAAAAAACATAAGAGAAAACAATTATATTTTTCTAAACAATAGAATCCTTTTTTGATCTATATCCACTGAAAAAAAACAGGATATAAGGTTCTATATGAACAAAACCAGAAAGAATCACATAATACAAAGTGCACATAAGATATCAGAAGCAATAGGAAATCAACCAATATGATATAAAACTAAACTAAAACCTAAACATATGAGAGATTAATCTTTTGTCAGAAAAAAAAACATATGAGAGATGAATAGGGTTTATAATAATATGAACGTAGCCTTTCGGATAACCGAAGGAAAACAAAAGTTAGACAATTGTGAAGATTCAAACAGGTGTAAGGAAGAAAAATAGAGAAATTGGTTAAATATATACCTAAATTTATACCTAGATTTTAATAGGTGTGTTTAAAATTTCATGAACGTATTAGTTGATATATTATATATTATGTTGTTAATATGAAATTCTTTTTAGATTATATATGAATTATATATAAGTATTCATTAAGGGTAATATAGATATTAACCACTTCAACTTTTAACGTGGGAGCTCCGTTGCGAAAAATCACTTCGCAAATAATAGTATAGATGTGTTGGTGATATGATTGTGTATATCTCGAAATATATTAAGGGATTTATGATCAGCATTCAGCACTAGAACTTAAACAAAAGGAACTTTTTAATTTTTTTCTTCTTCAAAATACATCCCCTTCTTAAAAGTTGAGTTTATGGAAATAGACAAATAATTTTGATGTGAACAAATAATTAAATATTATTCAAAAAAAAGGAAATAATTAAATATTCAAAAAAAAAACTCCGCCGCGTAAAACACAACTTGTTAAAACTCACCCAATAAAGGAAGAACACGTGTCGAAACCCCTTGAACCACGATGCTTCGCAAGTTTGTTTCTGTAATAACATAAAAGGAAATAACAAAGGAGCCATCTGAAACCTTCTCCCTTTTAGAAGGCTTGAGAGCATAACCTTATTCCTTTTTAAACTCTTGGTTCCTTCTCCTTCCTCAGGCTATCTTTTCTCTCTGGTAATCTTCTCTCTTTGACTTTAGATTCCTTTTTTTTTTAGTTTCTGAATATTCAAGTTCATTGTTGTTTCTACGAGACGCAACCTTTTAGGTTAAGGTCATATATTGTTTTCTTCTCTAAATCTGGATTTGTTTGAAATTTGCATGTGTTGTTTCCCTAACTTGCGACTATATCTGAATTAATCAGATAGATTTTGTTATTGTTGTTTGAACTTATTTTTCTTTCCTTCGATCACACGTCTCCATGGTTGATTAGATAAGGGCTATTTGAAAAAATAAATAAATTATTATAGGGTGAGAGGATCCTGTAAGGATATTCCGTCGGTGCCAAGTTTCCTTTAAGCTTAATGTTTGGTAAATTAAAAAGGAATATTTCCATTTATTATTCTCTTGATAAATTTGTTAAAATCCTATCTGTAATTCATCTGCAGAGCGCTTATAACACTTTTATGGCAATTGGAGACTTGTGCAGCAGTACACACAATTTCCTTCAAATAGGGAAACAAGAAGATCGTTTCCTTCAAACCCTAACCAAAGCTGGGGAAAATTATTTTCTCTGTGGATTAGAAAAATATGGTTTGCTCTGAGTGTTCTGTTTCCTGCGAGAACCTAAAGCCGTTACAGAAAGATATGTGTTTAACAATCACCCCTCCAGTGAAAGATAGCGTTGACTTCTCTGATGTCTTTGGTCCACTCCCTGAAGAGTCATCAAGTGATGTTGTTTTCGACGAGCCTCCCGTTGTCCACACTCGCTCCCACTCTTTTGTTGGCCCTTCTCCTTCTTTCAAGCTCACCAACGACTTGGACAGTGAGAAAACTCAAGAAGGGGATGTAGCAGAGGTTTCAGGTGAAGTAGGCATTGAGGACTTTGAAGTTTTGAAGGTTGTAGGGAGAGGTGCGTTTGGTAAAGTGTTCCAGGTGAGGAAGAAGGACACCTCCGAGATATTCGCTATGAAGGTTATGAGAAAAGATAAGATCATGGAGAAGAACCATGCGGAATACATGAAAGCTGAGCGTGACATTCTCACCAAGATTGATCATCCCTTCATTGTTCAACTTAAATACTCTTTTCAGGTACTAATCATCACTCTACTAGTTTTACTTCATCAATGATTAACACAGAGAGCTTATACATACCCTTGTTTTGTATGCAGACCAAGTACAGGCTATACCTTGTGTTGGACTTTATAAACGGAGGCCATCTCTTCTTCCAGCTCTATCACCAAGGGCTCTTCAGGTTTGACTTCATTGCTTATTTTTTATTGGAGTTTTCACTAGAATTTTCTAAGGCTTGACTAGTTTTATGTTTTTTTTTATGTTAACAGAGAGGATTTGGCTCGTGTTTACACTGCAGAGATAGTCTCTGCGGTTTCACATCTCCATGAGAAAGGCATAATGCATAGAGATCTCAAACCTGAGAACATACTCATGGACACAGATGGCCATGTGATGTTGACAGATTTTGGTTTGGCTAAGGAGTTTGAAGAGAACACAAGATCAAACTCAATGTGTGGGACTACTGAGTATATGGCACCTGAAATCATTAGAGGCAAAGGACATGATAAAGCTGCTGATTGGTGGAGTGTTGGGATTCTTCTCTATGAGATGCTCACAGGAAAGGTAAGAAGCCTAATGTATAGTCTTGGTCTTTATTTAATTCATAACTTTTATGTGTTGTGTGTGTATGACGTTTTGGTTTTGATTCTTCAGCCACCGTTTATGGGGAGCAGAGGAAAGATACAACAGAAAATAGTGAAGGATAAGATCAAACTTCCACAGTTTCTGTCTAATGAAGCTCATGCTTTGCTAAAAGGGGTAAGTTCCATCATCTAATTATCTTCATAGTACTATGAAGCATTCTATCTGACTTTATCTGATTTTGACTTTGTATTGAATATATATAGCTGTTGCAAAAAGAGCCAGAGAGGAGACTGGGAAGTGGACAGAGCGGAGCAGAGGAGATAAAAGAGCACAAATGGTTCAAGGGAATAAACTGGAAGAAGCTGGAGGCAAGAGAAGTGAAGCCAAGTTTCAAGCCGGAGGTATCTGGAAGGCAATGCATAGCGAATTTTGACAAGTGTTGGACTGATATGTCTGTGTTGGACTCTCCTGCAAACAGTCCAAGGTCGGATCCTAAGGCTAACCCTTTTACCAACTTTGCTTACGTCAGGCCGCCTCGTTCAATCCTCAGCCAAACCACATAGAGACGTTGTAGAGGAATGCACATAATCTGATGTCGTGTTTCTAAGCTTCTTCATATCAAGTTAGAATACATGTACGTGTATGAAACATATCAATATGAAATTAGTATTGATCAAGAAAGCTATTTAATAATTTGATTTGATTAGATCTTGTTAGAAGAGTGAAGGCATTGTTTTGATTGAGAATGATTTTTCTTTTATATTATTGAAACTAACATTGCCTTTAACCCTAGTAAACAAAAGCAAGAAACGTATATAATAATTTGATGAAGACTTTGCTTGCGGACCAAAACTTGTACATAGCGATGTAAATAGAGATGATTCAATATACAAATATTGAGTAGTGAGAAAGAAAAGATAAGACTATTGTAGAAATAGGATGAGCTAACACAATTATAAAACTTTGGTATTATACATACTTGCCACACAAGGAACAAAAGAAAGGTTGAGTCAAGGCCGTTGTGGACTTTGAGGTAGAGAGTCAATGATGGAAGTAACTTTCTTCTGTAACTCAGGCTTTGTTAGCTCCAACAAGTTTGCCTATTTGCTGACCATTTTTTTAGAAAAAAATAATGTTGGTGTTGCTTTTATGTCCCATGATGAGCTAAAATCCTGCACAACATAGAAACATTTGAGGTTTTTATTAGTTGATGAAAGATCATGTGAAGAAGAGAAGCAAGGGATGGGGGGACCAAAATATATTTTGTATTCATTTTGTTTAAGTAATTAATTAGTAAAACCAAAATAATTTTTTTATTCTATGTTTCAAATAATCCCAACCGGTAATAATGAAATAAATTAACATGATCATCACAACTGTAGGACAAATTAATGCTGAAAGACATAAGCATGCATATTGATATTTAAATCGAAAGAAGTTGTTCCAAGAGTGAGTAGAATTATCAAGAAGATTTGTAGAAGGGGAGAAGTATATCGTTGACCTCACTGAAAAATTCATCACTGAATAAAGTGTAAAGCACAATATAATTCTCCCTTGCTACAAATCTTCTTGACAATTGTGGGAGAAAGTTTCGAACAACTTCTACAGTTGGAAGATTAAAATGCATACTGATATCCTTCAGATTTAACCTGCTATATTGCTGGTTTTATAGAAAATTAAAAAAAAACATGTACAAGAAAGTTGAAGAGGTTGTTAAGCACCACAACAAATGTAAAGATGCATGTTGAAGAGAAGATTGATAAATTAGAAAAATAAATCACTGAGATTTGTAGTGAATCACTCCAAAACGTTATTGGTTTGTTATAGGAAGTAAGTTTGTTGAAGAGACTATTTATAGATTTGAAAAACAAATCAATGAGATTTGCAGTAATGCACTCCAAAACGTTACTGATCTGTTGTCAACGTACATTTATTTATATTATTTTTTTTGCGTTAGATTACGTTACAAATTTAAGAGAATACGCACAAAGGAAACAACGTACAATGAGAAATGACTGTTGACTGAAATGAATCAGTTATTGATATTTTTGTAAAACAATATTTCTTCTAATATATTTATCTTAGTGAATATTTTTGTAATGGAGGGAATGTTTTTTGGCTCAGATAATACACATACGTTCAATTTTTCTTCATAGTTGAAGCAATGCACGGAAAAACTTTCTAAAATAAAAAGTTGTGTGTTTGTACCAAAACAATCACAGTTATAAAGTTTGCAATGTTGCTATCTATTTGTATCTTTTGTTGTCAGAGTTATATGTATACGAAAGATGCCAAGGGAGTTGAGCTATTAGCTTTTTTCACATTGCAAGATTTGGTTGCTGAGAGAACCTTCGTTCAAGATTTTTGGCCAGTTCTTTATAGAAACAATATATATGGTTCTCTTGTTTATATGTGTAATGTGTCTCACTCCAACTCAGATGGGGATTCTAAGTGTACTTTTCATAAGTTTTCATATTATATTGTTGTAATAAGACACATGAAAGGAGTAAGAGCATATAAGTTGCTCAATTATGATCACATAATAGCGTTTACTAAACCCCAACAAATGCAGTTTTGATATATTTGGATGATAAATAACATTATGCTTTTGCTGGTCTTTGACCACCGCTTGAGTCTTAGCATCCCATGGCATGGCGTATTTCCCAGTCCAGCTTCGTGCAGTTGACTCGTACTTGGTTTTAGCCGTCTTGTGCATTCAGTGCATATGAGATATCTCTGGCACAAGAGGATGAGGATCATCTAGGTTCGGGTCTGTCAACAATGAGCAAATCGCAGCAATACCTAAACCCACATCATCAGCATCATCACTCAGCATTAACAAACAGAAACAGTCTTCTTTGTGTTAGTGCCAAAAAAGAAATTTCAAAATAAGGAAAGAAAGAAGTATGGTGAAAAATTGACAATACTCTGTGATGAACGAAGGGAGTCATCAAACGTAAATAGTCTATAAATTATCTTAATATTACTTAAGCTGTTTGCTACAAATCTCGTTGATTTGTTTTTTTCCAATCTATCAATCTCCTCTGTACTTATTACTCACCTTTACTTTTACATAGTCAAACTTTTTTTTTTTTGACAAAACATTGTCAAACTTAACACCCTTTAGAATGATGTTATTTCTGTAGATTTTTAGTAATCATTTTTAATGACAGATCTTACTGACAGTTGTAGAACAAATTAAAATTGAGGGATATGCGTAAGCAACTTAATTTCTGACTGAAGAAATTTTGAATTGTCTTTTTCCTATATACGAAAGCAGCATCACTGAAAAAGATGTTAAACACGACATAACCCTCCCCTGCAATAAATCTCCTTGACAATTGTAGGAAAAAGTCTCATTCAAAAGATTAAATTGCTTACTATATCCCTTAATTTTAATTTGCTAATCCGCTCCCTTGATGCAACAAAAGAAGTTATCTTGTTGCCTTCACATGGAAACTTAAAAGTCAATAGAAGACATTTGCATGCACTGGGAGCTTGTTGAGCACCACATGGGATGTAAAAGTAAGAACCTAAAAACTCATGAGATTAGTAGTAAAGCACTTCAAAACGTGATTGGTTTGTTGTTAGAACTAAGTTAAGAGAATATTTATAGATTAAAAAAACACAAAACGTTATCGTTGTTAGTAGTCGACGTATTTTATTTTTTTTAACGTTAGATTACGATACAAAATTTAATTAAGAGCACACAACAACAAAAAAAACGCTCAACGAGAATTGACTCAATTGAATCAGTAACAGAGACGACTTCTGTTATTCTTTTACACATTTTCAGCGACCAGGAAAATATATTTTTTGGCTTAAACATTATTTTACGTTCCTTTTTTTCAATTATAGTTAAATTAAATTCATAGTTAAATTAAAACGCTCAACGAGAATTGACTCAATTGAAGTCCTCTCGCGATTATGTAATCGAGCTCAAGAAGACGGATCTCTCCAAGGGCTGCGGGTTGCGCGAGGATCCCCTCGGATAACCCATCTTCTTTTTGCAGATGATACAATGTTCTTCCTTAATGCCAATAAGGAAAACTGCAAGTCGCTTACGGCCATTCTGAACCAATACAAAGAGGCGTCCGGACAAGAAGTAAATACAGAAAAATCGGCCATTACCTTTTCGAGGAAGGCACCTGCTGACTTGAAAGCTATGGTAAAAGAGGAACTTCAAATTCAGAAGGAGGGAGGGGTTGGAAAGTACCTGGGACTCCCGGAGCAATTTGGGAGGCGAAAGAGAGATTTGTTTGCATCAATCATTGATCGGATACAGCAAAAGGCAAGAGGATGGTCCACAAAATTCCTATCTTCTGCGGGGAAACTGGTTATGCTACAGAGTGTTCTTTCTCCTATCCCCTCCTACGCAATGACGTGCTTCAAACTCCCGGTTTCATTGTGTAATAGGATACAATCGGTGTTGACTCGCTTCTGGTGGGATAACAATGAGAATGAGAAGAAAATGGCGTGGGTGGCTTGGGACAAGATAGCAAAGCCAAAGTCGATTGGTGGCTTGGGGCTCCGAGACGTCCAGAAGTTTAATGACGCCATGTTGGCCAAAATCGGATGGAGAATGTTGCAGAAACCTGATAGTCTCCTCTGTAAAACTCTCATGGGAAAATACTGCCCTGAAGGGAATATATTATGTGCAACGGAGTCATCAACAATGTCTCATGGCTGGAGGAGTATACTGGTGGGTCGAGATCTACTTCTAAAGAATCTAGGGTGGCTAGTTGGAGATGGAAAGTCCATCAAGATCTGGTACGACCCCTGGCTTTCTACGTCAAACCAGCTAAGGCCAATGGGACCTCCAGAGGAACAAACAGCTGAACTTTTGGTTGCAGACTTGATGACTGAAGACGGTTCCCAGTGGGATCACGGAAAAATTCAAAGGATCCTACCTTTGTATGAAGATCTTATCCTCAGCATCAAACAAAGTGTCACCAGGGCTCCGGACAAATTGGTGTGGCTGGGCACAAAGACAGGAGAGTATTCTGTTAAATCCGGGTACTATAAGGCGGTTGTGGAAGATGATATCGGAGTTGTGGAAGTAGTGGAGCCAAATTTTAACTGGACAAAAAACGTTTGGAAGCTTGATGTCGCGCCCAAAGTGAAACTTTTTGCTTGGAAAACGTTAAAAGGGGCTCTCCCAGTTGGGGAAAGGTTAATCGAGAGGCATATTGCTGCAGATTCCCAATGTAAGAGGTGTGGGTGCACCGAATCTATCACTCATCTCCTTTTCCAATGTCGATTTGCGCGAACTGTGTGGAGACTAGCTCCATTAATGATTGACGTGGAATGTAGTGGAATGATAGAATTGGTGTCTGATTGGAGTTTGTTCTGCAATAGCAAATGCTTGCCGCCTGCAGGCATTGTGTCTGGTAATTTATTTCCGTGGATTTTATGGAGCTTGTGGAAGGCAAGGAATCGATTTGTGTTCGAAGGCTTCTCTTCCTCCCCGGAAGATACCCTAACTTCGGCAATCGTGTTAGCAAGAGAGTGGGGACAGGAACGAAAAACAGAGAAGTCTCAGCTTGTGGGAAGAAGGAAAACAGAGCAACCTTGCCCGGATAACACTTCGGTGGTCAAGACGGATGCAGCTTGGGACAGTAACAGACAAGCGGCGGGCCTAGGATGGATTGTGACTACTAACCTGAGAACTCAAACCTTCCACGATCATATGGCCTTTGTCTCGTCCCCTCTTATTGCCGAAGCTCTGGCGCTGAGAGAGGCAATCACGTCGTGTAAAAGGTTGAAGATGACTCGAGTGCGGTTTGAGTCAGATTCAGCTCAACTAATCTCAACAGTCAACACGAGGTCGGGGAATCTGGACCTCCATGGAATTGTTTCCGAGGTCGGGGAATCTGGACCTCCATGGAATTGTTTCCGACATCTTATCTTGTTGTTTAGAATTTGAGTTTGTAAGCTTTGTGTGGATCCCTCGGGAGAGAAACACCATTGCAGATTTGGTTGCAAAAGATGCATTGAATGCATCAGGACGGTTGATCGTTGATGGTGCTATTAATGCCCTCAACTAATTTCCTAATCAATATAAATGTGTTTCAAAAAAAAAAAGTTAGATTATATCAAGCTCAGACCAGACTTTTACTAGTCTCTTCATTTATTTTATTAGGACTTCATCTAGATGGAAATAGACAAATTGTTAAAAGCTTCTTAGCACTGCATAGACTTCTTTCCTGCAGTTTACTCAATTTTCTGGGAATAAGTTTAGTGAAACAGAACACTTTTCCCAATTTTAGCTAATATTCACAAGGTTGTTGCAATTGTAATTTCATACACGAGCAAATTGAAAGGAGAGGTGATTCAATGATTAAAACATTAAGTAGGTGAATAATAATGATATCAGCAGAACAGAGGAGAAAAGAGCATATAAGTTGCTCGTTTATGATCTCACATAGTAGCGTTTAACTAAACCAAACAAATGCAATATGATATATATAGATGAGTAATAACGTTATGCTTTGATTGTCTCGACCATTTGAGTCCAAGTCTTTCTCATCCCATGGCGTACTTCTGTGTCCAGCTTCGAGCAGTTGACTCGTACTTGGCTTTATCAGTCTTGTACATATGCGCAATCTCTGGCACAAGAGGATCATCTGGGTTCGGGTCTGTCAACAACGAGCAAATCGACAACAAAACCTGCATCCACAACATCAACATCAACAAACATAATCTGCTGAAACAGTCTTGGGTAAAATAGAGAGAAACAAAAGGTCAAACCTTGGATATGGTAAGAGCAGGACTCCACTGTTCTTTCAAGATATCAAGGCAAATGCTTCCATTGCTGTTGATGTTTGGATGGTAAACCCTTGTCTTAAAAGACACCTGCAAAAATCATCAGAGACACATCATAAGACTCTAAACAAACATGATACTAAAGATGATTTAGCCATCTAGAACCAAAATAAGCAAACCTTAGGTGGCTTGAAAGGGTAATCCGGAGGAAAGTGAATGGACACCAAAAAGACTCCTCCGGCATAAGGACTATCAGGAGGTCCCATGATAGTTGCTTGCCAATGGAACATGTCCTCAGCCACAGGACCTTACATCAATTAAAAAAAAAAAAACTCAGACCTCACAACCACATCAATACAAAACATATTAGCATGACGTAAAAAACAATAAAAAACGTTACAAAACCTCTTCATCAACTCAGTCCTCAAAAAAACCACATTAATACAGAGACTTAGCAGTAGCTAGAGGAGACATAAAATCAAAACCATGTTGAGCTCTGAACACTCTTAAATATTATTACATAATCAAGGGACAAAAGAAAAAGGTTCTGTCTTGAGAGTTCATAAACACACCAACCAAAGAACCTAAAAAAAAAAATCAAAGCTTTGAAGAAAAAATTCAAATAGATGAATCAAAGTATTGATTTTTATCACACCCTAACTTCAAAGCAACAAAAGTAAAGAAAAACATTCAAATAGATGAATCAAAGTATTGATTTTTATGACACCCAAACTTCAAAGTAACAAAAGTAAAGACAAAGCTGAAGTCTTTGGTTCGGTGATACCTGCGCTACAGTTAGAAGGAGGATCCTTTTGCAAATCCTTAAGCTCTTTCAAAATCCTCTTTGAAGCCATGTCTCAGAGCTTCACACAAGAGAACAACAAAGACAAAAACCTTTAAAGCAACCAACTTTATATAACATAACAATAGATCACAGAGGAAAGGAGAAGATTCCTTACCAAACAAGAGATTAACGCAAAGAAGAAGAAAGTGGATCTGAGAAACCGATGAGCTTTCTTTTTCTTTTGTAATAGCGTGCAAAAGAGAGAAACGAATAAGATCCTCGCAGCTCTCCTACTTCTTTTTTTCTTTATAGTCAAGAGGGAATGTTCGAGACGGCACTCGAACCTTCTGATTCGGATAGCAAGCTCCGCGTGCGTGATACGTATTTATAAATCACGTGTCAATGCGTTTATTGGTTTTTTCTTTAATTATTTAATTCACGCTCATGCAGAAGAATTTAGTGGGATAGCCTAAAGGCCCAATTAAGTGAAGTACTGCNTTTTTTCTTTAATTATTTAATTCACGCTCATGCAGAAGAATTTAGTGGGATAGCCTAAAGGCCCAATTAAGTGAAGTACTGCCTCACTAAAAATGTACTAATTTTTGTCATAGGCCTAAGTACCGGTCCTTGCGTCCGGTTCGGGATGTTGTCGGATCCAGGTCCTTCGGATCTTATACATTTGAACTCAACCTATAATATTTAGGTCAGTTTTGGATCGGGTCTTTTCAGGTATGGGTCAGTTCGGATCCACTTATCTCAGATCCGTTAATACCCAAATTTTTTCGGATCTTTATGGTGTCGGGCAGATTCTAGGTATTTCAGGTCTATTTTCGGGTAAATATCATATATTTCGGGTCGATTTCACATATTTTAGATTTTAAATGTGAATTTCAGATCTATATTTACCTGAACATAAAACCATAACTATTGATAAGGGAAGTATGAACGGTGCATCGTTCTAGAATAAGTCATTAGGTCTAATAAATTTTGGATCCAAAAATATCCGATCGGATCCCGAGTCGGTTCTGGATCCAAACCTACTACTTACGGGTCCTCCATCGCTAGATCCAATAGATAAAATTCTCGTTCCGGTTCCAAAACAAATCTGTATTTTTGGGTCGGTTCTAGATCGGGTCCTCGGATCCGGGTAAATATATACTACGTCCGTTAGAATTTAGAAAACATATTAAATCATTATTATAAATGTTTTTTTTTGTAATTATCAATTTTCAATAACTTTAAATTAATTTTAATTCAATATAGTCAGTTGATTTTTAACTTTACAATTTCTACAAAAGAAACACAACATCAATATTTGTAAAACAAACTTTATTCTAAAAGATTTATCTTAGTGAATATTTTTGTAATGGATGGAATAATTTTTGGCTCAGATAATACCCATACGTTCACTTTTTCTTCATAGTTGAAGTTAAATACATAAACTAAAATATATGTTTAAGCAATGCACGGAAAAACTTTCTAAAATAAAAAGTTGTGTGTTTGTACCAAAACAATCACAGTTATAAAGTTTGCAATGTTGCTATCTATTTGTATCTTTTGTTGTCTGAGTTATATGTATACGAAAGATGCCAAGGGAGTTGAGCTATTTGCATTTTCACATTGCAAGATTTGGTTGCTGGAGAACCTTCGTTCAAGATTTTTTTGGCCAGTTCTTTATAGAAACAATATATATGGTTGTCTTGTTTATATGTGTAATGTGTCTCACTCCAACTCAGATGGGATTCTAAGTGTACTTTTCATAAGTTTTCATATTAAATTGCTGAAATAAGACACATGAAAGGAGTGTTCCAAAAAAAAAAAAGACAAATGAAAGGAGTAAGAGCATATAAGTTTTTTTTTTGAACTGAACTGTAGAGCATATAAGTTGCTCGATTATGATCACATAATAGCGTTTACTAAACCCCAACAAATGCAGTTTTGATATATTTGGATGATAAATAACGTTATGGTTTTGCTGGTCTTTGACCACCGCTTGAGTCTTAGCATCCCATGGCATGGCGTACTTCTCTGTCCAGCTTTGTGTAGTTGACTCGAACTTGGTTTTATCCGTCTTGTGCATATGAGCTATCTCTGGCACAAGAGGATCATCAGCAATGAGCAAATCGACAGCAATACCTAAATCCACATCATCAGCATCATCACTCAGCATTAACAAACAGAAACAGTCTTCTTTGTGTTAGAGCCAAAAAAAAATTCAAAATAAGGAAAGAAAGAAGTATGGTGAAAAATTGACAATACTCTGTGTGATGAATGAAGGGAGTCATCAACGTAAATAGTGTATAAATTATCTTAATATATTACTTAAGCTGTTTGCTACAAATCTCGTTGATATATTTTTTCCAATCTATCAATCTCCTCTGTACTTATTACTCACCTTTACTTTTACATAGTCAAACTTTTTTTTTTTTGACAAAACATTGTCAAACTTAACACCCTTTAGAATGATGTTATTTCTGTAGATTTTTAGTAATCATTTTTAATGACAGATCTTACTGATAGTTGTAGAACAAATTAAAATTGAGGGATATGCGTAAGCAACTTAATTTCTGACTGAAGAAATTTTGAATTGTCTTTTTCCTATATACGAAAGCAGCATCACTGAAAAAGATGTTAAACACGACATAACCCTCCCCTGCAATAAATCTCCTTAACAATTGTAGGAAAAAGACTCATTCAAAAGATTAAATTGCTTACTATATCCCTTAATTTTAATTTGCTAATCCGCTCCCTTGATGCAACAAAAGAAGTTATCTTGTTGCCTTCGCATGGAAACTTAAAAGTCAATAGAAGACATTTGCATGCACTGGGAGCTTGTTGAGCACCACATGGGATGTAAAAGTAAGAACCTAAAAACTCATGAGATTAACAGTAAAGCACTCCAAAACGTGATTGGTTTGTTGTTAGAAGTACGTAAAGAGAATATTTATAGTTAAAAAAAAACAAAACGTTATCGTTGTTAGTAGTCGACGTATTTTAACTTTTTACGTTAGATTACAATACAAAATTTAATTAAGAGCACACAACAACAACAACAAAAAACGCTCGACGAGAATTAACTATTGACTCAAATGAATCAGTAACAGAGAGGACTTCTATTATTATTTTTCACATTTTCAGCGACCAGGAAAATAGACTTTTGGCTTAAACATTATTGTTACGTAACTCCTTTTTTCCATTATAGTTAAGTTAAATCCATAGTTTGATTATATAAAGCTCAGACCAGCCTTTTACTAGTCTCTTCATTTATCTTACTAGACTTCAACTAGATGAAAATAGACAATTGTTTAAAGCTTCTTAGCTCTGCATAGGACTTTCCTGCAGTTTACTCAATTTTCTGGGAATAAGTTTAGTGAAACAGAACACTTTTCCCAATTTTAGCTAATATTCACAAGGTTGTTGCAATTGTAATTTCATACACGAGCAAATTGAAAGGAGAGGTGATTCGATGATTAAAACATTAAGTAGGTGAATAATAATGATATCAGCAGAACAGAGGAGTAAAGAGCATATACGTTGCTCGATTATGATCACATAATAGCGTTTAACTAAACCAAACAAATGCAATTTGATATATATAGATGAGTAATAACGTTATGCTTTGATTGTCTCGACCATTTGAGTCCAAGTCTTTCTCATCCCATGGCGTACTTCTGTGTCCAGCTTCGCGCAGTAGACTCGTACTTGGATTTATCAGTCTTGTACATATGAGCTATCTCTGGCACAAGGGGATCATCTGGGTTCGGGTCTGTCAACAACGAGCAAATCGACAACAAAACCTGTATCCACAACATCATCATCCACACTCAGCATTAACAAACATGATCACCTGAAACAGTCTTGGGTAAATAGAGAGATACAAAAGGTCAAACCTTGGATATGGTAAGAGCAGGACTCCACTGTTCTTTCAAGATATCAAGGCAAATGCTTCCATTGCTGTTGATGTTGGGATGGTACACCCTTGTCTTAAAAGACACCTGCAAAAATCATCAGAGACACATCATAAGATTCTAACAAACGTGATGATACTAAAGATGATTTAGCCATCTAGAACCAAAATAAGCAGACCTTAGGTGGCTTGAAAGGGTAATCCGGAGGAAAGTGAATTGAAACCAAAAAGACTCCTCCAGCATAAGGACTATCAGGAGGTCCCATGATAGTTGCTTGCCAATGGAACATATCCTCAGCCACAGGACCTTACATCAATTAAAAAAAAAAAAAAACTCAGACCTCACAAACACATCAATACAAAACATATTAGCATGACGTAAAAAACAATAAAAAACGTTACAAAACCTCTTCATCAACTCAGTCCTCAAAAAAACCACATTAATACAGAGACTTAGCAGTAGCTAGAGGAGACATAAAATCAAAACCATGTTGAGCTCTGAACACACTTAAAATATTATTACATAATCAACGGACTAAAGAAAAAGGTTCATCTTGAGAGTTCATAAACAACAACCAAAGAACCTAACAAAAAAAATCAAAGCTTTGAAGGAAAAATTCAAATAGATGAATCAAAGTATTGATTTTTAATCACACCCTAACTTCAAAGTAACAAAAGTAAAGAAAAACATTCAAATTGATGAATCAAAGTATTGATTTTTATCACACACCCTAACTTCATAGTAACAAAAGTAAAGAAAAAAAGAGTCTTTGGTTCGGTGATACCTGCGCTACAGTTAGAAGGAGGATCCTTCTGCAAATCCTTAAGCTCTTTCAAAATCCTCTTAGAAGCCATGTCTCAGACCTGAACACAAGGGAATAACAAAGACAAAAACCTTTAAAGCAACCAACTTTATATAACACAACAATAGATCACAGAGGAAAGGAGAAGAATCCCATACCAAACAAGAGATTAACGCAAAGAAAGAAGAAAGTGGATCTGAGAAACCGATGAGCTTTTTTTTTTTTTTGTAATAGCGTGCAAAAGAGAGAAACGAATAAGATCCTTGCAGCTCTCCTACTTCCTTTTTTCTTTATAGTCAAGAGGGAATGTTCGAGACGGCACTCGAACCTTCTGATTCGGATAGCAAGCTCCGCGTGCGTGATACGTATTTATAAATCACGTGTCAATGCGTTTATTGGTTTTTTCTTTAATTATTTAATTCACGCTCATGCAGAAGAATTTAGTGGGATAGCCTAAAGGCCCAATTAAGTGAAGTACTGCNTTTTTTCTTTAATTATTTAATTCACGCTCATGCAGAAGAATTTAGTGGGATAGCCTAAAGGCCCAATTAAGTGAAGTACTGCCTCACTAAAAATGTACTAATTTTTGTCATAGGCCTAAGTACCGGTCCTTGCGTCCGGTTCGGGATGTTGTCGGATCCAGGTCCTTCGGATCTTATACATTTGAACTCAACCTATAATTTTTAGATCGCTTTTAGATCGGCTCTTGTTAGGTATGGGTCAGTTCGGATCCACTTATCTCAGATCCGTTAATACCCAAAAATTTTCGGATCTTTATGGTGTCGGGCTGGTTCTAGGTATTTCGTGTCTATTTTTTGGGTAAATATCATATATTTCGGGTTAGTTCCTGATATTTCGGGTCGATTTCACATATTTTAGCTTTTAAATGTGAATTTCAAATCTATATTTACCCGAACATAAAACCATAACCATTGATAAGGGAAGTATGAACGGTGCATCGTTCTAGAATAAGTCATTAGGTCTAATAAATTTTGTATCCAAACATACCCAATCGGATCCCGGGTCGGTTCTGGATCCAAACCTACTACCTACGGGTCCTCTATCGCTAGATCCAATAAATAAAATTCTCGGTTCCGGTTCCAAAACAAATCTGTATTTTTGGATCGATTCTAGGTCGGGTCCTCGGATCCGGGTAAAGTACCAAGGCCTATTTTGTCATATGCAATAAAAATGCATTAATTTTCTTTGGATGGTTAACTTACAAACACCTTTCATATAGCACCTCAAAGTTTATGTTCTAGAGAGGAAAAGCTAATGAAAAACCCATGTTTTCCGGATTGTTGATATCCAAGAAATAAGCCCAACAATGGGAGCCCATAACCTTAAGCCCATCAAGACTCCAAACAAGGAAACTGAAAAATTTATTAACCTCACAAACAGAAAACAGTCTCAAGAACTACAACAATTAAGGCATCACACATAGAGGAACTACTAAAAGTTTATTCCCAAGAAGAAGAAGTAAATTAAATAATGATTTGAGAAATAAAGAAAAAGAACCAATCTAAACCGGGCTCTCAGAGCTTCTAATCATCTCTGGTGAAGAGACTCTATTAGCAGAACCAGTAGAAGGCCTAATCTCTTCCATCATGTTAACCACTTCCTCCATGGAAGGCCTAGAATCCGGATGCTTTGACACACAAGCCATTGCTATTTGCAACGTCTGCACCATCTCTTCCTCAACATTATGCTGCTGCTTGATAAGCTCTACGTCAAACACTTCCCCAGTCCACTCCTCTCTCACCACTGACTGCACCCACTTGGGCAAATCCACCACTTCCTCACGCCCTGTCGTCTTCCCTGCTGCTTTCCCTGTCAGCATTTCTAGCAACAGTACACCAAAGCTGTACACATCGGATTTTTGAGTATGTTTCCTTGTTTCTATGGTCTCAGGTGCTCTGTACCCTAAGCTTCTTGAAGGCAGCAAAGTGTGATGGCTCATCAATGGAGCTATACCGTGATCCGAGACACAGACTTGGAGGTCTTGTGTTAACAAAACATTTGGTGATTTGATGTTTCCGTGGAGGAGTTTAGCACCAGACACAGAATGTATATGAGAGATTCCTTTTGCAGCTCCTAAACAGATCCTTAGCCTTGTTTCCCAATCCAAAGCCTCTCTTCCTCCCTCATTACCATGAAGAAGCATGGAGAAACTGCCTCCTTGGTAGTAATCATACACGAGTAGCTTCTCATCTTTTGAGAAGTAATAAGCACGGAGAGGAGCTACATTCACGTGTGGACTAATCCTTCCCACAACTTCCATCTGCTGCTCAAACTCTTTTTTACCAGCTGCTACTTCTTTCAGCCTCTTCACCACCACTGTTGTTCCTTCCTCTAAGATGGCCTTATACGTTGTCCCGTAGCTTCCTTTCCCTAGAACTTCAGCAGAGGCTCTAAGCAAGTCCTCAAGATCAAAGTTGTATGAACTTCCTTCAAAGAAGACCAGCTTGTTCTTCGCAGCTTCCTGGACTCCACTTCCAAACTCCTCTGCTTTGTTGTCACTCCTCCCTGGTTTAGCCTTTGGCACTGCTGTGCTGTCTTGCCCATCATCTTTTTTCTTGGCACAGCAGAGAGTTAGGAGGACAAGAAGGATAAACAACAGAACTGAACTTCCAACTGCAATGCCAATAATAGCTTCAGTAGAGAGACCTCTTTTGCTTGTACCAGGACTTGGGGAAGGAGATGGTGCAGTGGTGTTGTCAGGGCATGGAGTTAACGGACCACCACATAAAAGGCTATTACCTTGAAAGGAGGAAGCTGGGAAGGACTTGATAGAAGATGGAACTGAACCGTTAAGGTTATTGAAGCTGAGATTCAAGTACTTTAAGCTAGGAGGGAGGTCAGGGATTGGTCCAGTGAGAGAGTTGTTCTGTAAGCTGAGATCAGTGAGCTGAGTAAGGTTCTTTAGACTCGCGGGGATGTTGCCTGATAGCGAGTTGTTGGAGAGATCAAGATTAACAAGACGACGAGAGAGAGCAGGAGGGATAGTACCAGAGAAGTTGTTGTCATGAAAGTAAAGTGATCTGATAAAAGGAAGAGAGAGGATAGCAGATGGGATGTTTCCTTGGAGGTTGTTGGAACGAAGGCTAATGATCCTAAGAGCATCAAGCTTCTCAAAGGTTTTCTCAGGTAATGGTCCATATAGTCCAGAGCCAGGTAAACGGAGTGCGGTTACACGTGCGTTGTTCTTGGAACAGGTGATGCCGGTCCATGATGTGCAGATTGGGTTTGTGGTGTTCCAGTTGAGTTTGCGGGAGTGTGGAACTAGAGATGCGAACTCGAGTAGTGCTTGTTTGTCTGTGTCTATGTCTGAAGATGAAACAAATGGCGAGACCAAAAGGAAAATGAAGGCCGCAACAATCGTCATAATACTCACATCAAAGTTTTCTCATTCACCTGCAATTAAGAGTGATGACAAAAACACATCAAGTGTTGATTTAGAACAACATAACAATTAGCTTGTAATGAGAAAGTAGGCAAGAGTGACACACCGACACTTTGACATGTATTAGGACTAAAAGATTAAGACAACAATTGTAAGAAGAAAAAAAAAACTAAAAAAAAAAGTAGTTGTAAAGTTAGACACAAAAGCGTAATCAACTTCCACTAAAAATTAAATGCAAATGACTTTTGGGGGATGATAACAAATCCAATGCAAACATTACCAGATTATCAATTAAAATCCATAAAATATGGGATCTTTAAGCACACATTCATTTACTAAATAATTCTCGAACAGCTTAGAATCAATAAAAAAAAAGATCCTAATTAATTAAGGAAGTTGCTAAATTTAGAGACAATTAGTAAAGAGAATGTGTGCCTATGTACTTGTTTTCCTCAGATCTGCAAGCTTACAGATGAACATTGTGGTTTCTCCAGCTAATCAAACAGAGAAATCTAAACTGAAAACAAATAAATGTTTTTTTAGCAATAAGAATTTAAGCTAAAAACAGAAACAAGAAGAAAACAAATATCTAAAGTGAATTAGAGAGAGTCAGAGACTAACCTTTGAGGTGGGTTCAGAGGAGGCATTGAAAGCTGATCGTAGAAGAAGTTGTAGTGAGAGTGGAATAAATGCAAAGGGAAAAGATAGTAATATTGGAGAAAATCACTTTCAATAACGGCATTTCGTGAAGAAGAAGCTTTGAGCTAAAGGTAAAAAGAGGAAAAGAGTAAGGAATCTGGAATCTCCATTGCAATAGATTCAGTGACCACTAAGTGATGATAGAACAGTCAAAGAGAGTGTAGAGAGATGCAAATTTTAGTTAAAAATTTGGGGTTTGGTTTCAGGTGAAAGGGAAGCTTCGGCGTGACGGCAACGGAGCAAACGTAAATCTCGATGTTCAGTTTCAGATTCCAATCTCTCTCTCTCTCTTCTCTGCACTTTGCTCTTTGGCTTAATACCTTTGACTCTCTACCTAAGAGAATTTTTATATTATTAATAATTCGTACCTTAAATTTATTTTGTCATTTTGTTAATTTCTCTTTGTTCTATTCCTATTCATTTTAAATAATTTTTCGTACCTATTGAACGGGTCAATTGATGTACATATGGCGGCTTCATGAGATTTTAGAATATTCTAATAGCTTATGGGATAATAACTCAACTGATAATTGGTAATGTATAACTCAAATGGATATTCTCTTTTACTAATGAGAAAGATAATATCTCAAGATCAAAGACTAGATTGGTAAGGAAAACAACAAAGACTGGGAGAAATGTTGCAAAATAAATGTATTTCATCTTTGATATTTTTATAAAATTTAATTTGGGTGAGATGGCACTATCTTTCTTTAAAAAGTGGACCCACCTGAAGGGGAAAGAGAGTTTAGTATGTGACATAAATTAGGGTATGATAAAAAGGTAACATGGTAAACAACATAATGAAATCTCAATAATATTGATTTTTTCCATATTAATATTGATATTTTATTAATATTATTTAAATACATGGATTTAAAATATATATATATATATATATATATATATGGAACACTTAACCATATAATTGGTTATTAATTAATCATTTTAATTTTTTTTATAAACCATAATTGTTTATCAACTAATTAAGAAATTAATGACCATTCTTTTATTTGTCACTTTTGAACAATTTAAATGGTAAATTTTCATAAAGAAAATATATCTAATAATTTTTCACTGAATTAACTGTGATTTTTCAATAACAAAATTATAACCATCACAAATCTTAAATGTATCATAAGTTTTGCTGAAAGTATAAAATTGCGAAAAGCACTTTCCGATCATTTGCAAAATAAAATAAAATAAATGTATCATAAGTTTTGCTGAACGTATAAAACTGTGAACCACAACCTATATAAACCCTCTCAAAAATGCCATACAAAGACCAATATCAATTACAGTAACATCTTTAAATTGTAGAAGATCAACAAAAAAAGACTAAAACTAAAGCTTATAGAAGCTGAAACAAACTCTCTTTCTCGTATAATGGAAGAGGGTCTAGACTTGGAACATACACATTACCACAAAGGAAGGTGCCATCAGTCATTCTCGTAGTGTCGTTCTGTCACAAGTTGGTTGCTTACACCACCCTCATGGCCTCATCAATCTCATAAAGAGTGATGCAAATAGGGAATCTATCACCTTCATCTACCTCTCCCTCGCACCATCCTCTATATTTGATGTCTCTTTTACCAAATGTTTCAATGAGTTCGGAATGGTAATCCAAACTCATTCCTCTCTGAATATAGAGCACTTGAACCATCATCTTTACAATAAGTCGATCGTTTTGTGCAACTTGGTTGCATGCAGCATGCTTCATGTGAAAGTTCAATGTAGACTATGAATTTGCATAGACTCTTGCTTTCTTCTTGTGTTTGAGACGGATCAGCTTAATAATATCCATATTTGATTATTATATAATATGATCCAATAATAATATACACATTACACTATAATAATATCGACAGAAATGATGTCGTTACATATTTAGAGCTGGTTCAGGTTTAGTGTCAACGTTGTCACATTTCGTCATTTTAACAAATTATCTGTATACAAGATAAATTTTGCTATAATTATTAGTAGTAGTTACGATTTTTTTTTCTTGATAATACAGAAGAAAAATCTTTGGAACTGAAAATCGATTTTCAAAATCATCTTGTAATATTCGGAAACGGTTTGTTGTAGTTAGTTGACAAATATATTATTCGAATATGCCGAGTTACTAGAAGTTTAGTTGACTTATAACGACTTTCCTTAATCACGATTAGCTTTCTTAATAAGAAGCTTCGTACCTAACAAACTGGACGCTAATTTCATCCTTTTACAGATTTAACCGACTAATTCCGAAAATTAAACAAACTTAAGGGACTTATTTACAATTATTTAATAATAAAATAAAGATTTTATTGTAAAGCGTATAAATTAGAAGACTTCTGTCTGTTATAATTTTGACTTAATCTACTCCTAAGTGTTAGGGTTCGGTTCCTTCTTCCTTTTGTCAAACGTTTCTCAATCTTCCCTTGACCACCATTATCAAATCCCAACGCTTCTAACATTATCAAAGCTTAGATTCCTCCTCCTGTGCTGGTAAGCTCTGCAGTTATGTTTCTGTGCTGACATTGATCTGGGTTCGTCGTTGAATGTATTGATTGGGTATTCTAAATCATGCAAAATGGTTGATCGAATCTCCAAAAAATTTTCAATTGGGTTTGTAAATTCTGCCAATGAAATCGCATTTTTAAATTGAAAGATCGTTGCTTTGTTGTTCTGCGTTACTTTTTTTTTCTCTGAAAATTGTTTTAATGTGTTTTTATTGGTTATATGATTTCACCAAAATAAGATATTTTGTTCAGTCTGGTGTATAGGGAACACAATCATGTACGGTTCTGTCTGTTTATATTGATGAGTTTAAGTTCTGTTTTTTTTTTTTTTTTTGTAATCTTTATCAGACAAGGCATCTCATTGAGTTTTTTTTTCCCAATTACAGTTGCTGAGTTGAAACTTTTTCTTGTGATGTGTTAAACAGGAAACAGTCATCTCCTCTTGATGCAGTTTTGATTCTACAACGCATTTTAGAATGATGCATCAAGGCTGCAAAAAGCTTATGCTGCTTCTAATCTTATTTGCCGCTTTATTCATTGGGAACACAGACGGAGAAGACACAAACTCCGAGATCTCACATAAAGTAAGAGCTTCTCCTGATGGAAACATGGAGAGAAACGTTATAGACGGAAGTGGTGTTGAGAAAACTTTACATGACATTGGAATGGGTGATAAGAGAGGTGGCAGTCACAGCAAAGTTTCAGTCTCTACAGTTGTGTTATTCACCTTGGCAATGGCTGCTGCCACTGGGTTAGGTGCAGTGCCCTTCTTCTTTGTTGAGCTTGATCCTCAATGGGCTGGAATGTGCAATGGAATGGCTGCTGGTGTGATGTTAGCCGCTAGCTTTGATCTTGTAAAGGAGGGACAAGAGCATGGTTCTGGAAACTGGGTTTTTACTGGGATTCTAGCTGGTGGTTTGTTCATTTGGCTCTGCAAGCAGGTAACCTGGAACTGATTCTTTGCATAGAATCTCAGCATTGAAATCTCACTTTATCTTTTGGCAGTTTCTTGAACAATACGGTGAGGTAAGCATGCTGGATATTAAAGGAGCAGATGCAGCGAAAGTTGTTCTCGTTATAGGGATTATGACACTTCATTCTTTTGGGGAGGGATCAGGGGTTGGTGTATCGTTTGCTGGTACAAAGGGTTTTAGTCAAGGGCTTCTGATCACTTTGGCAATAGCCGTTCATAATATTCCAGAAGGGTTGGCTGTTAGTATGGTGCTGACATCAAGGGGTGTCTCTCCACAAAACGCCATGCTCTGGAGTATAATCACATCTTTGCCTCAGGTTTTATATACAATGTTCTTTGCTCTGATTGTCTACATAACAGATTGTTGATTTTCTGTTTTTTTTTTTCATCAGCCTCTAGTTGCAGTGCCAGCTTTTTTATGTGCTGATGCATTTAGCAAGTTTTTGCCCTTTTGCACTGGATTTGCTGCTGGTTGTATGGTTTGGATGGTTATTGCTGAAGTGCTTCCTGATGCATTCAAGGTGAATTACATGTCCTCATATTTCAGGAAGATGTTGATTTACTGACTTAATATCTCTTCTTTGTAACTGCAACAGGAAGCGTCTCCATCTCAAGTAGCATCTGCAGCAACGATAGCAGTAGCATCCATGGAATCTTTTAGCACTCTTTTCGAGAGTTTCACACATGATTACAAGTACAAACAATGGAGTTTAAGTTAAATGTATTAGCCATTGTATTTGATTGGTTCTTAAATCTAACTAAGGCTTCATTTTCTCCAATTTGCAGCTCAGAGGATGCTTCTGGCTTCTTTGTTTCACTTCTCTTTGGCCTAGGCCCATTGCTTGGAGGAGTATTCCTTGTTGCATCGGCGCTCACCTTCCGTCTCCAACACGCTCTCCTCATGGGAGTAGCCTCAGGCATTGCCTTTGTCCTCGGTCTCTGGCGTCCTCTTCAACTTCTCCTATCTGCAAAAATTGGATTCATTCCTCTGCTTACTCTACTCGCGTTTGGAGCGGGGCTTAGCCATTTCACGAGCACAACCATCCTGAACATTACTTGTCTGAAGAAGTCCCGAGCTGGGAGTTTAATTACTCCAGTAACCAATTTTCCAACGAGTATGATAACACTCCAATCTCTATTAGCATGTGGAGCGGTTGGCTTCCACGCACTAGCTGAAGGACTTGCTCTTGGTGTCGCTGCTCCAAAGGCTTATGGGCTAGGTAGACACATGGTACTCCCAGTTTCCTTACACGGGTTACCAAGAGGGACAGCTGTTGCAAGCTGTGTTTTTGGTGCTACAGACAGCTGGCATGCAGCTCTTGCAGCAGCAGCTTTGATTGGGTTTGTGGGACCTGTGTCAGCCATAGGATCAATACTAGTGGGGATAGATTACAGTGGGCTGGATCATGTAATGATGGTGGCATGCGGTGGATTACTGCCTATCTTCTGGCAGGTGATTAAGAGAGCAGTGAAGTTAGAGAAGAAGAAAGGCAGTGTGGGAATGGTGCTGGGAGTAGTGTGTGCTGTTGTGTGTCTGACTTTCACTAGACTGGTGTGTTTGCACACGCCTTATTGTAATTCTGCACCTGAGGCCGTTAGATGATTGTATCATGAACGCAAGAGCTACCTCTTGTGAACTCTGTTTTTTTAATGTTGTAAGATATATGCTTTTTTTGTGAATAAACGAACTTAAGAAACTCATTAGTTTTAGCATTCGCAGAATGAACCATTGACTTTTACTTTTGTGTAAGTAAACCATTGAATCTATGGATATTGTGAGCATTTATATGTCAACTAACTGTTCTTTGTTGGAAAGCTATCAACTAACAAATTTGACACTCCAATCGATAACAAATTTGCGAAATTTTAAAAAAAACTCAATAAAAATACATCAAAATATTTTGCATTAATTGGGAATCTGAAATATATTTTCAGAGAAAATACAAGAACCAAGCGTATGTTATAGTTGTACAAACACCTTTGTTTAGTGTGGTTAATCAAATCCCCTAAATATTAAGTGAAAAGCATTACAATATGTTTTGTAACCACGTGTCATCATGAAAATGATTCTCAAATTTACTAGAGAAAATATTAGTCCATATAAACATATAATATAATTTTTATTAAATTAAGAATAAAACTATTATTAATGTTAATCATTATTTCCTTAAATAAAAATTATGGAATTACCTAATAGGGTTATAATATATATATATAATAATTAATGATTTGAATATGAAAGATTTGATTAAAAAATTGTATAGTATCTATTATTTTTGTTAAATTTATACTGTGAAAATAAATTAAACAATAACATTAACTACATAAAGAAAAAATTAGATTTATTTATATATGTTATATTTGAATTTTTAAAAACGCCTATAAATTAATTAAAAAAATTCACATATAATATTTTTGATTACTAGTTTAAATTTTTTTAATAACACGATACAAAAAATTATATAATTAATGAGTAAGGAATATCATTTAATAGATATTTATATTAGATGTATATATATATATATATATATATATATATATTAGTTATGTTAAAATTAAACTAAATACCATTTAAAAAATACATAAATATTTAATTTCAAAATTGCATTAAACAAGTATTGAGAACTTAATACGTTAATAACAAACTTTGAATTTAAATTTAAACTATGATAAATTACTGTAAATATTAAATCTCTCACATTAAAAATGATGTTATTAATATTTTAAAAAATTTATTATAAAAATATACAAATGATCAGATGACCGCATGACGATGACCGCATGTTCATATGCCTTGCCTAGTTTTGGGCCTTCATAGATTTCCATCTCATCGTCAGTTTCAGCCTTATAATAGCTCTCCCAACCTTCAAACAACAGTAAAGATGCACCAATAGATAATCACTTTTCAACCTGTAAGACTGACTCCAATGTATCATAATGATAGATTTCCTTCATTTTCATTATGACACAGTAACTACAAAAAAATAGTATAATGTTCCATGATTAACATATATGGGAAGTTTTTTCTTACATGGGTAAAAGGTATTAGATGAAAAAAATTAAAAATATTAATTAAAATTAAGCGTATATATATATATATCTCAAATAAATTGTTCTTGTCGGTCCAAGGCTATTAATCTTAAAATCTATCAAATCAATTAACAAAAAAAAAAAGGTAAGCAAATATATATTTAATATTTAATAAAAAATATAACTTTTTTAGGAAAAAAAAAGTAAAAAAAAAATATATATATAACTATAAAATTCTTTACTGGTCAGAAAAGGAGAGTGGTGGGTTCCTTCCATTGCAAATATAGTGGATGAATTTTACTTACTTGCGAGTAAAAAGAGTAATAAAACTTCCTATAAAAACGCTTTATGCTTCAGTTTAAAAAATTTGTATTTCAGTTATATAATTATGTATGAATAGATAATTATTGTTGGACTAAACATTTATCAATTGGTGATGTTGCTATCTAATAGAATAGATGTGGTAAGTCAATATTAGCTCCAAATAGTAAAACACCCTTTATTGAGAACTTGCTTTCTTGGTAATGGTTTGATAAAGAAAACAGCAAACAAAATGAAATCCAAATATTAGGATGAACCTAAAGAGGGATTAGTCTTATTTTATTCATAAACATAACAGAACTCTAAAAGGAAGATCACTGAAGAAGAAAGCTCTCTTCTGAACCTATGAACAAAGAGTAGCTCCAAAAGACACTATGATTCGACTCAAACATCCTTCACCTTCACTGAAACCTCCGTCTTCTCCTCCTCCTCCTCAACAGCAACCTCCGTCTTCCCCTCCACAGACTGTGAACCAGTCATCCTCGCCAACAACACAAAAGACATCCCTCCCACAACATTGTTCACACACCTCAACACAAACACACTCGTCTTAAACACCATAGGCGGCATCGCCCTCGCAAGCAAAAACTCAACCCCGTTCAACGTCTGGTACCTCACATTAGCACTCACACCCATATGAGTCGCCCAAGTCAACGAATTCAGCACCGTCGGCGGCGGTTTATTCGGAGTTTCGAACCCGGGATCCATCTTCTTCCTCAACACAATCAAACCATTAGAGATAGCTGTTCCCACAAGACCTGCAGCTAACCCCACCGTCGCAAAAACCATTCCTTTATACACAAGAGTCCCGAAACGGTTCATAACGCTGAAGCCACCCTGTTCGAACATATGTCCGGAAGGACAGTTTCTGAAGATTCCGGGTAAGCTTTGGGAGACACCAGCGGTTGCTGCAGTTGGAGCCAAGAGGTACATAAGCATGAAGTTTAGAATCGAACCTACGACGAGAGTTGAGAAGACGAAATCGAGTTCGTTTAATCCGAAGTTGGGACGTGACGCCATGTCACCGAGGACGCAGGCGGTGACTCCGACGAGCTCTTCCATGAGGACTTTGAAAGGGAATTGAGGATCTGCGGAGACTCGTGATCTCCATCCTTCGATGAACATACCTATTGGTCCCCATGAAGATGAGGAGTCTTCTTGTTCTCCTCCTCCTCCGTAACCGTCACCTCCTCCTCCTCCTCCGTTTCCACCGCCTGAATTACCGAAGTTGCCATCACCAGCACCACCACCGCCTACGGCGCATGGGAGGACGAGTTTTGGAGAAGAGAAGTTGGTGTGGAGTGAGCATACTGATCCACTTCTTGGAAACGAGAGGACGATTCTTGGATCGCGCGTGAGGTTGATGGGTCTAAGCGGTGGTAGATTAGGATTCGATTTCGCTGACAGGTGAAGACGCGCGATAGAAGCCATCTTCTCTCACTGGAAGATATGTGATTCTCTGAGAAAATTCGAATCGAAAATGTTTTTTTTTTTGTTTTTCGCTTTAGAATCTTATGATTGAAAGCACGGCGGACAGAGTGTTTGGAATACCTCATCTAAGCCAAAACCCTACTTGTTGTTGTAATAAAAATTCAATCGGCTCATTTCGCACGTGCGGAAAACTAAAAGTAGTTCTCCCCCACGTGTCGTAAAGCCTCAACTACTTCACCTACATACAAAACCATGTTGAGCTTCACCCCACCAAGTTCACCACACCACCGTTGTTGATTTTTCTTTTATGGGATACACTTTTCTTTAGGCATGGGCGTTCGGGGTCCCGTTCGATATCGATTCGGATGATTCGTATTTTCGGTGTTAAGTTCAACAGTCCCATTCGAAATTTTACTAATTATCGGATCGAGTCCTTCCGGGCTCGGTTTGGATCAGATGTAACCAATTTTAAAAAATAGTCCAAAAATATATTTTTTAAACCTCAAAAATTGACAAATTTAATTTTCAAAATATATAAGTTATTTACAAATTTAATTAAAATAGTAAAATTATCTAAATTAACAAAAAGTATGAAAATAACAAATAAAATCAATTACAAAATATTTTGAATACTCTAAAATATCAAAATCACCTTAACATATATAAAAAAAATATTAACATATTAAGCTAATTTCGAGATATTTTCGGATCCTATTTTGGATTTCAGATCGGTTCGGTTAAAACCAAACTCCAAAGTATTAAACTCATAAGTCCTATTCGGATATTTCTGTATAAGGGTTCGGATCCAATTTCGGTTTTTCCGGTTTAGGTTTAGATAGGTACTTAAGGTTAGGGTAAAAACGCCTAAGCCTACTTTTCTTTGGACAAAAGAATTACACTTTCAGTGTATTTGAAGATTGAGTCAGTGTTCTCAAACTCTCAAATCATTTGGTGAATTTTGGATCAGGAAGGAAGGAGAAGATGTCGTTAGTGTGGCTAGAAGCGGCTCTGCCTCTGGAAATCATCGGAGGGATGCTCTGCATTATGGGAAAACTCTCAGTACTACATCCACAAAGCTTATCATGGCCGTGTAATGACTTTTCTTCCCCTCTTTTTTCCGTTTATAAGAGAGAGAGACATCTTTCACGATTTTGATGATTTTTGGATTTGAGCAGCCGAAGCACATCGGGCACGATGAATGGGACGTTGCTATGGAGAGACGCGACAAGAAAGTCGTCCTCGGAGAATCTAATTGATGATTTCAAAAAATTGAGACCTGAATGACATTTGGTTGATTACTTGACGCTTTTTACATGTGATGCATGTTGTTTTAAGTTGCATGACATTTGGTTTACAACTACACACTTGCTGTGTGAAGAATGTATTATTATGAATATCTCGAAAAATTGGCTCACCAAAAACTTCTTTGTGGATAGATTCCATCTTCAGTGTGTGTGGGTGTTTGCTACGGGTAGGATCTATACTCTACAGTGTGTAGTGGTAGTTAGATAAGAATAGGGGGAGACTGTGAAGAAGATACTTGAGAGTCCATTGAAGCTTGTGATGATGAATCACATGGTGGTTTTTTTATGACTGTGGATGATGAATGAGGTGGGTGAAAGCCTCTGTCTCTGCTTACAGATTCACAGGGAGTCTTCTCGCATTGTCCCTTTCAAGTGGCCTTTAATTATCTTTTACTCCTTCAAAATGAAGCTTATAGCTACAACAAACACACTACTAGTCTACTACTACCTGTGATTGAAGGACATTCATCTGGATCATATGGGGACATGTACTGCCCCTGTGAACGTAGATTATAAATAAGCATCTTGTAAAAACATTAAATATGCATGGGATAAGCATTTCGTTTAAGAAAAAAAAACTATAAGAACTCCATATATAGCAGAAAAAATGTTAATTATCATGAAATCAGTATATGAGGCTCAGAGCTGAGAGAGCTTTGGCCTCAATACTCTGACTTCGAATCTCTACAGCTGCAAACATTTGCCCGGGCCACAAGGGTATTCACATGGGCTGCTCTCGCCCTCCAGACCACTTCGCGTAACCAGGGACCCTTAAGTGGAGGCTTAAAAATCCTGTAATGGCATGAGATTAGGTCCGGTGGGCTAGTCGATCACGCTTAATGGTCGGATACTGGATTATCAAAAAAAAAAATATGAGGTTCAGAGAAAAACGTGGACAAAATACACTCAATAACAACTGCCATTATTCGAGTTGGATCAAAAAGCAACAGAGCAGTAAAACAACTGCTAAAAGACCTTTGTTTGTACTAAACCACTGTGGTGCAGTGCCTCCTTGATTAGAAAGGCCACTGGGACCAATGAAGTTGAAATGAGAAACAGCAAAATAATATACAGCAGTCTCATCCATTATTCGTTCTTTATGTGTGTTCATGCCAATCGTCCACGAAAAGATTATATATGTGTTGTACTCTCTTTTTATCTTCTTTCAGATACAAAGAACTTTGTAATGAAACCGGATAGATAGAATCGAAGTAAAGACTCAGAAAAATATATATTATAAGAAAATCATAGAGTTGGCATAAGAGTATCATTCTAAAGAAAAAAAAAAAACAGAAGCAAATTATTACAAAGACATTTGACTATCAATGTGATTGGGAAAAGCATGGAACGCATAAGAAGTTGTTGGGTGTTCAACGGATATCTTAAATTCAAATCTTCTCCAGCTGTTTCTCACCGGATCACGTAATAAAATATAATTAATCCATTGTCTCTCCCTTTTGGGCACATAAATAAACTCACCAGCATGAGTGAAACCTGTTAGTTTGAAACTCCAATGGAAGTCAGCAGAAGTTGAAAGAAGGTCTTGTCCCGACCATATGTGTTCTTTCTCTGCATGTGCATCCTCCAAAATCCAGAATCTTATATGACCCCAATCACCAAAACAAGCTAACCTTCCCTTATATGTTATCAGGTCCCGACAATATTCGGAAGGTAATCTTATCATATCAAACTTTTCCGATCTGACATCGAAGCTCATTACAACTTTGGAGTCGGCTAGATAATATATCACACCCTCGATGCATCGCCCATATGCATCACTGGCAGGACGATGCTTACGATTACATTTGACCGTTCTCCATGATGATGATCCCAATGTAAAAACTCGGCACACATAACAAGTCCTTTTATAGGGAACGCACACTACTTTGTGTTTACCTTCAACGGGATCATATCCTAACAACAGTGTTGACTTCTTCCAGTCCTTACAGGGTTCTGGTATAGTTGGTAACGTTATGAAATTCCCAGTGCTAGGGTTCCAGATTATCGGCTTTTGTAAATCAAAGCAGATCAAGCCATGGACAGATTCAGTAGATATGCAGTAAACAAAATTTACTGGGAGTTTGGTCTTATGGTGATAGAAAGACAGAGAAGAAGAAGAGTAGGACCAGCTGTTCTTCTGAGTATGCTGTGGAATAGAGCAAACAAACAAGTCGTCGTCATCTTTTTGGAAACAAAGAAGAAGGTGCGGCCGTGGGAAAGATGGGTCGGAGGTGATTGATGACCAAAGCTTGGAAACACAACTAAACCTCGCCACAGATTTTTCAGGCAGCCTTGAGAGTATCTCTATGATTAGGTCCGTAGGAATGGATTGCATTCTTCTTTTTCGCATGTTTAATTGTTTTTCTCCTCCTTCTTCTTCTTTTTACCTAGATATATATATATTTACTCAAAACCCTATTTTGATCATAAGAGACCTAAAACCCTAATTTTATCATTAGCTACATATATATATTCGTGTATATATATTCTAGGGAAATTGCAATCTATAGCAACATAAAATCTATACTATCAAAGCAGAATTTTTTTTGGAGTTCTATCCCTGATTTTTTAGGAAAATTACAAAACATTACATTTCTTTTTATTTTTAATGAAAATTGCCTATTAAAAGCCCAATTGAAAATCACTTATTAAAAACTTAATAATTTTAATATTTATTTACAAGGAAATGGACTTAAAATCTATACAAAAAAAATTATATTTTTGTAAGTTTACAAATTCATCAGCAGAATTAGGACTGAGCATTTTACTCAGACCCGAAGATCCGAACAAGAATACATGTTCATGTCTGGGTTCGGGTCCATGCTAAAGTATATGTTGGGTATTTTTTGTTTGGATCAGCGGGTCTCGGCTCGGGTCTGGATCCTACTCGAAACTCGATCGGGTACCCGAATTACCCACTAATTATTGTATATATTAGATATATTTAGGTGATTGGGTATATTTTTGATAGTTCGGGTATTTTTAAAGTTTCCAATTTAGATTTTTGGGTATAATATTAGGTTTTAGGTAAAATTGTAGATTTTCAAAAAAAAAATATAATTCGGGTATCGGGGTAAAATTCTGGGTATTTTTTGAATTTTTGGGCCCGATTTTGGATAAATTTTTGGATATTTTTGCGGTTCTTCAGACATTTTTAGAGTTTTCAGATATTTTTGGTTTTTTATTGATCCAGTTTGTGTTCTTTAAATCATTTTTGGTTCCTAAATACCCGAAGCGACCCGACAATATACCCGAACCAACGGATCCGACAAGATCCGATCCGAAACCAACCCGAAAAATTATAGGTACATATATGGGTCCAATTTCTAAGACCCGAAAGACCCGATCCAAACCGACTCAAAGATCCGGATACTCATAACTAAACGGTATATTACCCACACTTCGAAAGCACGGATCAAAATCTAGTTAATAATTAACTGCATGACACTTTACCCTAAAATGCTACGATACATCATGTATTTTTTTGTAATAATACAAATTCTCCCTATATTCTAACCTAAAAAAAAAGCTAAAAACACTAAAACGCTAAAAACCTAATTTACGAAGAAAAGGAAAAACACCAAAAACATTAGAAAGGCTTAAACTCATCTCTCGTATAATGAATGTTTTGTGGATGGATCATGAAGTGTCGAGAAAACGTTTCAAAATGAGAAATCAGATGTATACTTGGACGACAAGGAATGTGAGATTCAGATGTTCATCGGTTTCTCGGTTATGATTCATGAGTTGTACGGATGACTGCAAAATTATATCTACTTGGACGACAAAATGAATGTACGTCAGGTACGGGAGTTCACGCTAGACACGATGTTTGTACCATAAGAAACAAGAGAATTGAGCAGAGAGTTGTTTCCAAATGTTTCTTTATATATCTCATAGCAATGCTATCAGTCATTTGCGCTATTACTTAGTTCTTTGTCTGTTTAAAAGCATCCGGGAAATTGCTATTCTGAGTGGAAAAGTAAAGTCCTTTAGGAGATGAAATGAATGTTATGCTGAGTTTTGTGTACTTGATAGATTGTACTAGGCGCTTCTGCTTAGTGTCCGAATGGAAGAACGGGACTAAGGATGCAGTTCTCCTACACTGCTTTTATCATTCATTTTTTATGTTTATAAAAATAATTCAAGCGATAGATATTTTTTTATGTTTACAAAAATAGTTCAAGCGGGAGATCTGCTTTTGATTCTGTTATTTCCATTTTGATTTTGTTTTCAACATTGAGACTTTAATGACATTTGGTCGATAACTTGCCTCTTCTTGCTTGTGAGAGAGTCCATCGAAGGAGGCTGTGATGATGATGAATCAAATCACATGGTTTATGATTGGCTAATAGTGGAGGATGGTAAATTCTGTAGGCGAAAGCCTCTGTCTCTGCTTACAGATTCACAGGGAGTCTTCTCGCATTGTCCCCTTTCAAGTGGGCTTTATTATCCTTTACTCCTTCAAAATGAAGCTTATAGCTACAACAAACACACCTACTACCACCCTTTTGAAGCATATGCTAAATTCAAAGTTGAATATATGGCAAAAACAAATATATATTTCCACACTATAATCAACTCCAAATCTCGGGGAACATATATCCAAAACAAAAAATCATACAAGCCGGCTTTTTCTCCACTACCCTCCTAAAGCTACACAGAACTAGTATTGCATCGAGTAATAATATCACTCAGTAAGGAGGAGGAAGCATCATCAGCTCTCGATGCTAAAATCTGTTAATCCTCTGTGACAAGTCTAGCTTGTTCCATCCCAGGAGGTGATAGAGGAGGGACAGCTGATTCAGTCCCTAGAAGGTGCCTTGCAGAGATGCCCTGAGATTCCTTGTCCTTTGAAGGAATGGACTCGGATGAGGAGTTGCTTTTGTTCATTGATGCTAACAACTGTTTTTTGGAAAGATTTGATGAAGCTGATGAGACAACCGAGCTGAAAACACCAGACTCTTTCAATGCTTGTATAACAACCTGCATTTTATGTCCAAAGGTAAAATGACCTTTTACACTTGACACTCCCAAAACTTTGTGTGGAAATTTCTGTAATGAGTTGATGAGTACTTTCTTACCATTGGTGAATAAATTCGAGTCAGGATTCCCTTCCTAAGGAGTTTCATCTTCACCTCTTTGTCGCCCCACACAACGTGTTCACGGTACCTAAACAGGACAGGTTACTCTTGTATCAACACTCCTTGTTCAAAGAGTAAAAAAATTTCAAACCATGAACAAGAAAGAATGCAATTCTGCGGCTAAGGCTCTTACCAGCTTATCATTTCATCTTCAGTAGCTGTTGACGCAATTATAAATGCCTACAATTTGTTCATCATCCAGACGACATCATAAGTGGGATTGAACCACATTAAGAAATGACTTTAGAGGAATTGAAGAGATGTTAAGAAAAAAAAAAAAGCTTACAGATCTATCGAAATCCAACATAAAGCATCTTTTCACGTCTTCTTTTGTAGGCTTGCAGCCACAACGATCACGCCTCGATGTCAAGTCAGAAAACTTGGCATATGTGTAGTGTAAGACAGCAGCCTCCTCCAATTTTATCTCACTGCCAATAAATAAACAAATTAATATATTTCTAAAACATTAGCTGCGAGCAGTAACTACACTACACTGTATGATAGTTACATGATTCTTAAGTAGGCTAAAACAAAAGTCTTATCATGCTCCTCAACCAGTATAATTTATAACGCTGGAATATACGATCAACGTACTTGGGAGTTTTCATGTAGTTATGCCATCTGTGTGCTCCATTTGGTCTGAGGTGGTCTTGAACCCGAGCAACTGATTTGCCGTTACCATAAGTCAAGAAGTAGTTTGGATTATTTCGTGTTGCTTCTTTATACATTCCAAAATATGTATCTTTTGGAAGATGGTCATAGTTCTTTTTAAACATTGACACCTAAATGCATCAAACAAACAATATCTCAGAAATGTTGTCACCACAGCTCCTCAGTTTAACTATCTTAGGTAAAAAAGAGAAACAAACAGAGTTATACCTCTGTAAAAGGATCCTTGATATCATCTCTTTCCACGCTGCTTTCCTAAACAACAAAACCCAAAACAATCACTCATATCAAGGCCCTGAACTCTAACACTCACGAAAATAGCTTAAATAAGCGATGGAAGAAATGTTTGACTCACATAATTTGGAAATATAACCATATCCACATTAGGAGGAACATCAAGAAGCAACCGTCTCAATGAGTACTCACGAGCACCTGCTGGATATATCAGCTCATCTGTGTCTAGATGGAGTATCCAATCCATGCCCGCATCCTGATATTTAATAAAAACAATGATTAGAAAATGAGACATGAACAATATCAACCAAAAAATGCTTACCCTAGCCATGACAATAGCCATTTCCATGTTGAGAGATTGCTTGACAAATAACTCATAATTGCATGGCTTGTAAAAGAAAGAAGATAGCCACGTCTCATTCCAAATCCGACTGATGAAGTAAAAACAAAATTGGTCATTTGCTGAAGATACTACAATTTCAAGAACAGAGAAAGAACAAAACATGTACACTAACCTCTTTGCCTGCTTCTCCTCCAGCTCTTTTGTCCTGTATATCACCTTAACCCCCTGTAAGAGACAACAACAGACTAAGTTTATGGAGAATCATTCACCTCACCACACAATTGATACCTAAATAACTAGAGCCATACAACTAAAGCTAGTAGATGGATAAGTTAAACTCACAGGAATAGACTCGAGCACTTTAGATATACTCGGCGTAGCAGCTTTCCCTTCAACGAAAAGAAAAAACGTGGACACACCTAAAACCTTATGGTAAAACATCCACGGCAAAATCTGATCCAATCCTGCTGATGTACTAGTGGTGATACATATCTGTGCATCAAAAGGTCAAATAAGCAATGCCCAAATCCTAAAGGTAAGAACTTTACAAACCCAAAGACAGAGCTAATCAATCAACAATACTCTTCGATTACACCAGACAAGAACCCATTCTCGAAACACTTGAAAGCAGAGGACTTTAACGATTACCTAAGGCTTTAAACAATGCCCGAATCCTAAAGGTAAGAACTTTACAAACCCAAAGACAGATCTAATCAATCAACAATACTCTTCGATTACACCAGACAAGAACCCATTCTCGAAACACTTGAAAGCAGAGGACTTTAACGATTACCTAAGGCTTTAAACAATGCCCAAATCCTAAAGGTAAGAACTTTACAAACCCCAAAGACAGATCTAATCAATCAACAATACTCTTCGATTACACCAGACAAGAACCTAATCTCCAAACACTTGAAAGCAGAGGACTTTATTAACCTTAGGCTTTAGATTAGAATCAACACCGAACTTCCAATCACCATAATAAGGAAAAGAAGGAGAAGAGCTTCTCGCTAGATTCGAGCAATCGGATGAAGAAGATTGGTGAGCTTTAGGTGAGACGGATGAGACAGTCTCCATCCCTGGAAACACCTCGTGGTTGAGATCGGAGCCGCTGCCGCCGACGACGCCAGGGACGGAGGTTGAGGAGGTGATGGAAGCGGAGGCGGGATCGGCGAGGCCACCGCCTCGCCATTGGAGGATGAAGGCGAGGCAGGCGAGGGAGACTGGGAGTAGAGTTAATAGGAGAAGAAGTCTTGAGACGAAAGAGTTGGTTGAAGAGGAGGAGGATGATGATGATGAGGAGATTAGTGGAGCTCTGTGCATCGATTTCATGACGAATTTTGAAGAGATTAAATCTGATTTTTGAGATCTAATCTGTTGGAAAAAATTTGGGAGCTTTTTTAAATCTCAAATCATGTCTCTCTGTTCTTGAGAGATTTTTTTCTATTAGAGTTTTTTTTTTTTTATTACTTTCTTATGTTGTTGTCCACGTAACACAGACAACTAGTTAAAAAACATGTCGTTGCTTCTACGCTTTTGTGGAAAATAATCAGTGTATTAAAAAGACCGAAGGGCTTAGATGATAAGTAGATGTGTAATAAAAGCCCAATTGCATTTTAGGGTCAAATTAGTCATTTTTTGTTGTTCGAAGCTTCTTGCGAGGAAAATATTTCATTGTTAGATACTTAATTTAATCATGGTCGTAGTTTTACTCGAGGTTCTAAAATTTGTAAAGAAATGTTGCAAATGCAAATTTTCATTTTTCTGGTTCTTTAAGACATTCATTGATTCCTAACTTAAAATGGTTTAATAAAATCAACAACGGCGGTGTAGAACAAATGCAAATTATCATTTCTCCGGCGCAATTTCACAAATCTATTGAACGTAACATAATCACTCACATATTTGCCATATATAAAACTTCGTGTAACATTGCCATCATCACAAACATAATGAAAGAGATACATAAAGGGCGTTGAATATCACACACCAACGTACACAAAGGCTAAAGACTATCTAAGTGGAAACAAAACATCATTAAACTCAAAAATACAACCCCTCATTCTCATTCAGTACATATAATAAACATTCCTTCAGTTTCGATAATTATAAACTCAGCTGACAATATTCTAACCGAATCCTGTTCATAATTCGACGACTCAACGACCCATAACACACATCGATTAGAACTAATCAATCCTATGCAGACACTATCAATACGATCATCAATTCATCACTAGACACTACCAATACGATCATCACCGAACCATAATTATAAGCACATTGTAGAAAATAAAGGATTAAATCGAGATCCACGTGGATCCTTTCATGCAATAACATAATCCTGATAAAAAAACATAGCTTGTCTTTGGTCCAACAAAAAACATTCAAATTAAAATATAAAACCAACAAAACTCTCAGAAATGTTTGGTTTTAAAAGGGGGAGAAAGACAAAACTACTTAGATCGCTGTCTCATCTTTCGTCTCTTCCTCTTCAACCTCCTCATACGCTTCTTCTTCCACTGATACAAACCAAACACAGAGTCCCGATCAATACGCTATCAACTACTTATACACTTATAACATTAAAAAATACATTACTCACCTTAGCTCTCATCCTTGTTTCGCAGAAGCTTTACCCTTTCCCTCCTCTGTTAGTGTTCTCAGAAAATGAGAAAAGAGAGGCGGAGATTCTGTTAGATTTACACACCTTACTCTTTTAAATGCAGCAAAACCCTAGAAGCTCGTTATATGGGCTCTACTGATTCATAAGCCCAATAACAAAAGCCCTAAACTCACTTGAAGGGCTTTACTGATTTATAGGCCTAATAAAGCTCAAAGCCTTTCGTAGTCATGCCGACATAGATTATTTCGACAAAGAGAGAAACTGAAGCAGGTTGATGATGATTGATTACATGGAGCGTACATTTCATTAAATACACACAACTAACAAGATAACTCTGCAGTTGCGAACTCAAACCCTAAAAATAGAAAAGAAAAAAAAGACAATTACTTTGACTTGCTCCAATCCAAAAAATCAACCTTTCCTTTTTTTCCTCTATGTCGAAGCAAAATTACAAAGTGTGTTTCTGCTTTAACCGGAGGTTCCGGTACACCGCATCGGAGGCACCGGCTGAGGTCAAGACCCTTTTCGACAAATACTCGGAGAACGGTGTTATGACTGTGGATCATCTCCACAGGTTTCTGATCGATGTTCAGAAGCAAGAGAAAGCTACTAAAGAGGATGCACAGTCGATTATCAACGCCGCGTCTTCGCTTCTTCATAGGAACGGTCTTCATCTTGATGCTTTCTTTAAGTATCTTTTTGGTGACAGTAACCCTCCACTTGCTTTACATGAGGTTATGATTCTCTCTCTTTGTGTTCTGTCTTTTTTGGTGAAGCTAAGTGTCACTTACTGTTATAGCAAAGTCTATGACACTATGATTTAATTATTTACTTAATGAAATTTTAATGTTATTGAGTTAGTAAATTTAATCTTATTCAAGAGTCTGAAGCAAGTTTATTGTGAAAAATTGTAGAAAAATAATTACAGAAAGTAGCAGAGGCTATGTAATTTTTAAGCAAGTTTACATGTATTTAATTAATTGAAAATTCTAGGTTCATCATACATGTTAGTGTGACTAAATTATTTTTCATTTTTTTGAATGATTCTAATGAATTAATTGCATGTTTTTCAGGTGCATCAAGACATGGATGCTCCTATATCACATTATTTCATATTCACTGGTCACAATTCATATTTGACCGGTAACCAACTGAGCAGTGACTGCAGTGAGGTGCCTATTATAGATGCATTGAAGAAAGGTGTCAGGGTGATTGAATTGGATATATGGCCTAACTCCAACAAAAATGATATTGATGTTCTTCACGGAAGGTATTAAATTACTGAAGTTTAGTCTAATGGAGTAAAGATTAAGTGATTGTGGTTTTTTACTTGTGTACTGAACCACTCTTAACAGGACTCTCACTTCACCTGTGGAGTTAATCAAGTGTCTTAGAGCTATCAAAGCACATGCCTTTGATGTATCTGACTATCCTGTTGTTGTCACTCTTGAGGATCATCTCACTCCTGAACTTCAGTCCAAAGTTGCTGAGGTAAGCCTGTAGAGATTTTTTCTCTTTTCTTTTCTGTTTTAGTAGAACATTGTTTTAATTTATAGATATGTTGTTCTTGTTGTATTGTAGATGGTTACCGAGATATTTGGGGAAACCTTGTTTACTCCTCCTGTGGGAGAATCTTTGAAGGAGTTTCCATCACCAAACTCGTTAAAAAGGCGGATTGTAATCTCAACAAAGCCCCCAAAAGAGTACAATGAAGGAAAAGATGAGGATGTGGTGCCCAAAGGTAAAACCTTGGGTGATGAAGAAGTTTGGGGAAGAGAAGTTCCGAGTTTTATTGAGAGGAACAAAAGTGGTGACAAGGTTTGTGTTGGAGACAAGTCATCGTTATTCAGTTCTGTTGGTGTCTATATACAAAAGTTGTTCAGTTTTCTTTTTTTTTGTTTGTTGCAGGATGACTTAGGTGAGAATGATGATGATGAGGTTGATGATGATGAAGATGATGTAGACAAGTTCAAGAAGAATGCACCACCGCAGTATAAACATTTGATTGCAATTCATGCTGGCAAACCAAAAGGTGGGATTACTGAGTGCTTAAAGGTAGATCCTGATAAAGTAAGACGCCTTAGCTTGAGTGAGGAACAACTTGAAAAGGCAGCAGAAAAGTATGCAAAACAGATTGTGAGGTAATCCCATGGATTATGGTATATAGTTTTGATATATCTTTTCCAGTTCAGTATGAATCATGTTGATCATGGTGTGATGCAGGTTTACTCAGCAAAATCTGCTGAGGATTTACCCAAAAGGAACTAGAGTTACTTCATCTAATTACAACCCGTTGGTTGGGTGGAGCTACGGTGCTCAAATGGTGGCTTTCAATATGCAGGTTGGAGAAGCTATTCTCCATCACTTTTTTTACAGGACAATCAACCTTTATTCTTTAGCTAAGTCTATTTATGAATCATTTTCCACATGTACAGGGATATGGAAGATCATTGTGGCTAATGCAAGGAATGTTTAGAGCTAATGGAGGATGTGGATACATCAAGAAACCTGATATTCTGTTAAAAGGTGGCTCAGATAGTGACATCTTTGACCCAAAAGCTACTCGGCCTGTAAAAACAACACTAAGGGTGAGAGATATCTGAGTCTCTCTTTGGTCTTTTCCAATGTCAAACCCGAATAAAAACTAAGTAATCTTATTATTTTTCTTATCCTTAGGTGACCATATACATGGGAGAAGGTTGGTACTTTGATTTCCGCCACACACACTTCGATCAATACTCACCTCCTGACTTCTACACGAGGGTAAATCCATTTCCCTTAGCAAGTAGAAACTGTTTCTTAGTTCTCTTACAAGGCCATGCAAATGTTTTCAGGTGGGGATAGCTGGAGTTCCAGCGGATACAATTATGAAGAAAACAAAGACGTTGGAGGATAACTGGGTGCCATCTTGGGATGAAGTGTTTGAGTTCCCACTAACGGTTCCAGAGCTGGCGCTGCTGCGGTTGGAAGTGCATGAGTATGACATGTCAGAGAAGGATGACTTTGGAGGACAGACATGCTTACCTGTTTGGGAGCTGCAAGAAGGAATAAGATCGTTTCCTTTACATAGCCGCAAAGGTGAGATTTACAAATCCGTCAAGCTTCTGGTTAAGTGTGAGTTTGTATGATTTGGTGTGTGCGTGAATCAGTGTGAGTGAGTGTGTAAGACTTTGAGAGAATGTTTGGTTTATTTGTTGCGTGTTGTGTAATATATGTGTAGAGTAAAAGGCAAGAGAGTGAGATGGTTCTTGTCTCCTGTGTTGTATTGTATTGTATACATAATAGTTGTTTGCAACACTATGAATCTATTATATTTTTTACGCAATTTTAGATTTTGTATTTTTTGTGTTTTTTCACCAATGGAAAAGAGGATAATTTAGTAAAGACGAAAATGAAGAGATCTAAATAAAAACTTTCCTCAAAAATTGAAAAACCGTTGAAAAATTCCTCTGAAAATTCTCCAAAATATAAAAAGCCTTCACCTTTCCTTGTAGATTCTTTCTCTTTCCCTCACCTTTCTTTCTTTGAATCCCTTTTTCCTCGCATAATCCCCATATGTCCGACAGGTAAGCCAACTTCTTGATCTCTCAAGGCTCTGTTCATCAACATTATGTTAAGTCTTTGAATGTCCTGTTGAGAACTTTGATTGATTACTTGAGCTTCTTGGTTTCTTGAGGACAAAGTTTGACTCTTTTGATTGATTACTGGAGCTTCTTGGTTTCTTGATGGTAAACACATGATGATTCAATGTTTTTTTTCTTTTTGTTAACAGGATACTCTGCAAGTTCTTTATCCATGGCTCATGCTTGAAAGGAGAACATTGTGAATATTCCCATGACACTAATGTAAT